TTCAAGCTATCAATTCCGGTTCAGTGATTCTGCACTTGCTCTATTTCTATAGTACTATACCGCCTTCGACTTTTATGAACAACTGGGTGTTTAATGTTAGCGATTTGTCGTATTATCTGGCTGTATAGCAAATGAAAAAATACAATTACTTTACAATGCAAGTAAAAAAAAATTGTGTTTTAATACGTATGTGTGTGTGTGTGTTTTAGGGCCCCTTTAGAACATATGCTACAGGCCCCGCACTAGCTTAATCCGGCACTGCTTCTACGGCCGTCTGGAATGCGCTTCCTTCCATAATTAGGAAGCTCCTGGAGCTATGCACGTTTTAAATCTAAATTGAAAACTAATTTCTTTAAAACTTCTTTTGTATTATTTTGTTGTCCTTCCCCTGCACCTCCGATTAGCAGGGTTGGCTACGTACGGTGCGAAAGAAGTTCTACATAAATACATGAGGATGACCTTGTGGCCTGCATCTCACAGTGAGCACCCAGTGCCGTCCCCAATTAACCACCAAAATGGCATCGATCATTAACAAAACATTAACGTTATTTTTTTGTTCCAGTTACAGAGTGGAGACGGTTAGTGTACGTTGAGAAATCTAACGATCACTGACAGTATGTATATCGGGCTTGGCTTGCCAATTAGACTTGTATATATAGATGAAGCCGATCATCAATCACCGAGGATGCACCTGATCTCCCAAGATCTCGGTGTTGAGGCTGGACGGTGCAAACCCCATCGGTAACAAGGCGCATCGGCTGCGGGGATGAGCGGCGGGCAGCAGAGGGCAGTGCAGTAAACTCAAACATGTGTCCATAATCCAAGTTTTTGTTGGCTTAGATCGCGTAAATATAAATGTGCCGTTAACCCCTGCCACAGCCAATCAGTAAGGTTTGTCACGTAAACATTAACAACCTGTAAATGTTGTGGATTTACTCTCCAACACACTGGTGTGCCGTACTAGTTAACGAATTGGCATGTTCTCTTTACGTGACACCCCTTACTAATTGGCCGTGTCGGGTGGTGGCGGGTTTAACGACACGTATTTACGCGATCTAACCTAAAGTAAGCCTGTATTAGGGATGATATTGGTAGCGCAAGCCCACGTGTTAAACCGACGAACCTTTATTTTGCACTGTGCCTCTACGTTCTTTGCTCCCCACCTTCACCAACCCTCACTGACCAGCGTGGTGAAGTATGGTCAGATAACCCCCACAACTAACATGGGGCATGATGGGGGGGGGGGCGCATTCAGCAGCCGATTGACACAGATCGACACGTACGCTTGTAATTACAACGAATATCAGCACGTTCACAATGAGTCCATTATTCACTTTTGCCGTAGAAAGAACCGAGCGTGTGGAATCTGTGCACAAACACACAATTTTAATACCCGACTTCCTGACCTTTGAAGCGAATTTTCTAAATCTTTGTTGCCATTTCCTGCGGTTGCCATCGGGGGGAAGGGGGTGGGGGATGGTTTATGACCCCGACAGCGTTTACTCTCGGCGTGTTTATACGAATAACAAGAAGCCACGTGAAGTTGCGTTGAGACGAAGCGAAGCGCAGAGCCGGTCTCCTGCCACCACCTCGCCCGTGGCACGCTCCGGTGAGCTTCCCTTGCAGCCCCGAAAAGCCAGGCGCGGGGGGGGGGACAGACGGCGCCTCGTGGAGGTTCATGTGTACGCTGAACTTCTTTCGCACCGTACGTGGCTAACCGTACCCATCGGAGGTGCGCAATAATCGCCGCGTGCGCGGCAGACGAGGCACGGGAACTGAACGACTGAACAAGCGGCTCCACCGCCATCTCTCTCCTTCTCTCTTCAGCACCGGCATCGACAAACACATTCCCGCTGCGGAGGGAGCTGGTAGGAACGTGTTGGGTTGCTCGGTCAATGGCCAGGGTCAACGGCGGCGTGGTGTATTCCGCAAATATGCCGACTGTGAGGGCGGGCACAAGCCGGCGTGAGTGGGTTAAACGTTGAGTTTTAAAAGGGCACCACGGGGTGACCAGCCCCTCCCCACCCAGCCCCACCCCTCACCCCTCCCCACCCTCCCCACCCAGCCCCTCCCCACCCTCCCCTCCCAGCCCCTCCCCACCCTCCCCACCCAGCCCCTCCCCACCCTCCCCTCCCACCCAGCCCCACCCTCCCCTCCCACCCAGCCCCACCCTCCCCACCCCTCCCCACCCAGCCCCTCCCTGCACGACAGACGGACGGACACAACAATCCCCTGTGGGCTGGTTGGGACCAGGTGGTTCCTCCCAGTATAATTATTATTACGTGCCTTCTGCCTGCGTAGAATACAATATTGTCGAGGGCTGTGCCTAATCGTGGTCAAATAAGACACGGGACATGCTGCTGCTGCTGCTCTTCGTGTCCGCGCACCTGGAGAATAAAAAAGGATGCCCATTTGCGAATGTGTCGAAGTGCAATCCGTTCATCGCTCGAGCGTGCACTGGCCACTCATTTCGCATCTTACACGGGGGTTGGCACGAGCGCGAGGCATCGAGCTGCCCCCGATGCCCTCGGGTGGAATTGCCAAGACTCAACACGCGCCTTTGGCCATTCTGCCAGTTGCTTTTGAAATGAGTAAGAAGTAAGACAGAGGAATAGCACAAGGTGACCCGCGACATTGATTGCATCTGGAGAACGAGCCACTTTATCCTCTTTCCAAATGGGAAACCGCCTTGGCTAAAGATCGCACAGCTCACGACATTGTGCAAAAAATACTTTGAGCTCTTGGAAGTTTCACTTTGGGTAGACGTAAAAGTGTCGCGCCACGAGCTGCCGGGATGCTGATATGATATACCTGGATACGGTAGAGTCCCATAGCGCATCGCAATCTTTCTCCGTCTGTATGTAAACTCCTTTGTCAAGGCGCTCTGCTCCTCCCACCCAGCTTAAAAATACGCTGCCAAGCTTAGCAGTGTTCATTAGGACGCTGTCTTTCCGACAGCTCTGTTTCTTCACGTGAGGACGGCTGATTGCGTTGTGGCCGAAACGTCGTGAGAATTTTATCATGTTTTATTTTTATTATTTCATTATTTCCCTTCTACGTGACTTTACCGAAAGAACCAAGAATATGAATCCCTGCAGTCACGAAAGCTTTACATCGAAAAAATTCCTCCGTCTGGATAGAATGTTTCATTCTATGGTAGCCGCTCCTGCTGTTACTACTACGAACATTCTTTTGTTATTTTACCAGGTAAGGCCAACTGAGCTAAAGAGCTCCACGAAGTGGCTTATCTCGTGGAAATGTATTGCAGCCAAATACCCCAAACGCATGTTTTTAAATGTCGAGGGGAAACAAACGGAGGACCCGGAGAAAAATCCACGTGACCACAGATTTGTTAATCCTTCGAATAGAAACAGGAAGCCGTTTCGTTTTTTTTATGACATACCTTGTAACAAGGTAGAAATGGTATATTAAAAGTAATGTTATGAATTCATAATTTTTTTTCAATATATCACATCAAAAACATACTTAATATCTTACTGTGTTATGACATCATATGCACACCGTATAGTGACTGAATAATGCAGCACGATTTGGATTAACAGAGCATCGAATTACAAGTGTGGTGGAGCGGTGGCGCAATGGTTAGCACATTGTAATATGAATCTGGCGACCTGCCTTTGATTCCAGCCAATGGCTACCATCAGTAGTGACATCTTAAGCGTGATAATTATTTTATGTTGTATTTTTATTATTTTATTACTTCCCTTCTACGTGACTTTACCGAAAGAACCAAGAAGACGTTTATGGGCTCTCCCCAACACGCCTTCACCAACCTGCACTGACCAGTGGTATGGTGAAGTGTGGTCGAACAGCCCCCACGACCAACACAGCGTTGGGAGGCGGCCTTCATTCAGCAGTGGATTAGACACAGTGCTGTGAATAATTACAGTATTTATAAATGCAACGGCATGAAGATGGGGTACCATATAAGGTGGCACGCACATCATGAGGGGGAAAGGTGGTATTTTATATGGAATATATAAATATAGATGGGCAAAGGAGATGAGACACGTCTTGAGTCTGGACTTGAACGAGGCAGGAAACCAACAGTCTGGATGGATAATGAGATCGTGTTGTGGCTTTTTTTTAAATCATCGTAAAGCAGACGCTCATCGTATGCATGTCAGACAATCTCATCAGATGTATGAACAGAGCAGATGTAGCAGATGCACTACTCTGGGTGTGATTTTACACGTTGAACACTAACGCAGGCTCCACTGCACACGATCGGTGGGAATTCTGCACTCTACATTCCCCCGCAGAATCAAAATTGCTCTTCATTCACGTTACGCAAGAGCGTAATGAGAAGATTGCAGGGAAAACAGTCGTGCTTTGACGCAGGAAGCCGCTGGTTAGGCGCCCGCAGTCGTGAGAATTCAGGAATTTCAAAGGCGTTCGCGCAACCATTGGTCAAGCAAGTCGCTCTCGTCACGCTCAGGGATGGATTGAGCTTAAAGGGGGGCCCCTAGGCAGTTGTAGTCTTTGGGACCCCCTCTTTGTACATTCAGTTTATTCCCTCTGCTGTTTCACCACCACTAACCACCACCACTGCCGCCCGTGGCTGATGCCAATCATTCCCGTTGTTATTCAATTTGGTTATTTCCGGAGCGTTTTTTTTTTTCAAACGTGATGTACGATTCGAAAATCTAAATCTAAGGACAAAAATTACGATCAAAGCTATTTTCATTTTCCGCACGTAATCGGTAGTAGTACACGCGGTGACACTACGGCTTTAATTAAGAAATGACACTGTAGGGATTACATCATAGTGCTACATTATTGCGTGTCAACTGTTATAAAGCAATGCATTTACAAATGTTTTCGGGAAGGGGGGGGGTCCTTCACAATCTGAGGCCTCATGTTGCAGCCCGTAAAGCCGCCGCGTGAATCCGGCTCCGCCGCTCACGATCGTCCGAATACCAGCGCCGACTCGGCTATTCCTTTCGTAGCGTTGACGAGTTGCGAACACAATATTTTTATTTTAATCTGTTTATTGGTCGCAGTTACACAACAACAAAAACCACTGGAAGTAAAGTGGTGCATAAAAACTCTCTGAATAAAACTGCACAAGACAAATAAATATCGGCTCATGTCTTTTTTTGGTTGGAGGGGGGTACAAGCTTAAAAAATAAATGACACTGTTAGGAAATGAACAAAACAGCTGATCATTTTCTTGCGTTAGTTCAATGCAGGGTTTGTGTATTTTCCCCTTTCAGCATATTTGTGTCATGATTTATTACGTGCATTTGAATGACGGTTTCCCAATACTGAATGTTATTTGCATTGCACTCGTTGCAGTAAAAGCCACTGACGGTGGAGCTAGAGACACGCGTGTGTTGTGTGTGTCCGTGTGTTGTGTGTGTCCGTGTGTTGTGTGTGTCCGTGTGTTCAACTTGCGTGGGGAATGGGGTCATATTGGTCCATGCCGCGCAATCCTGACTACCCAAGTTTAAATCCTTGTTATGTACAACACCGGCAACAACTGCTACGTCATGACTCTAGGTTGACTCAGCCCAAAATTGTAACCGCGTGCAGCGAGGTCCGGCAGCAGCACCTGGAGAAACAAAGGCAGCCAGGCGTGGTGCTGGCCCCTTGTGCTCGCTAACAGTCCTTGCACTGACAGTCTATTGTATTCGGAATGCGTGCGTGACACCACGTCACTTGTCAACGTCCACTTGTGCAGACAGCTGGCGAGTCTACAGGCCCCCGTCAGGATCTGGAAAAATAACACAAAATGGGGAAAAAAAAAAACAGAATGCGCAAACGGAATTATTCTTTCCAACGTCTTCTTCGATATCACCCATTACATACGTAGACCATTGCTAGCTTCACCAGAACACATTTCAGGTCGTTCAAATGAACAGGGGCGCCACGGTGGTGAGATGTTAACTACACCTCGCCCAGTATACAGGTCGTGGATTCGATCCCGACAATGACGCCTGTATATTTGGAGTTTGCAGGTCATTTTTCTCGGGGTCCTCTAGTCAGAGTATTTGGCTGCTATACATTTCCACTTGATAAGCCACTTCATTGAGCTATCATTTGTGGCAGCCAGGTCGCTTCTGAAAAACGAGCTACAGTATACATCTCAGTGGGCCTTACCTGTTAAAATAAAATAAAAATGTTAACGTTAGTTAACAGCATTGCAGTGCCAAATAAAACCACTAACAGTGCCTCTGGGGAGGGCACGCTCAGTGGCAGTGCAACACAAAACCACGACAAGCCCTCACAACCAACTCACGCTTGCGTCCCACGCCAAGAGAGAGCGCACACCCCAGACCAATGCTCCCAACTTGAGTTGTTCACACAATTCGTTTCCTGCAGTACTGTACTGTCTTTGCTGGAGTACTGTACTGTCTTTGCCACATGACAATTAAATGTTAAAACTTTCGTGACTGCAGGAATTCATATGCTATGGTTCTTTCGGTAGTCATGTAGATAGAAAAAAAATGAAAATAAAGTGAATAAAAAATAAAATATCACGACGTTTCGATCGCAACACAAGTGGTTGTCATCAGAAACACTTTTTTTTCATTATTTGATTGTTATTATTTTTTCTATCTACGTGACTTTACCAAAAGAACCATAGAATATGAATAAGTCTTCAAAGGTTAGCGTTTGGGTATTAATCTTCCGGTATATAACAGTGGTCGTGTTATTATTATTGGTGACAATTCTAGGAATTCTCACGAGCTCAGTGTAAACAACTAAGCCTCGGAGAGGCAATCAATGCATCCTAGCCAGACAAATGACACCATCCACATTCAAATCCACCAAGATAAATGATGGAACACAAAGTAAATAATATTTCAACAGAGTTGTAGACGTTTCTAGTTTGCCTCACTAAACATTCATTGGGCTTAAGGTAGATGACAACAATAACACATCAGACAGGTCTTGTAGATACAACCTCTGGGTGGTTTAATTCGCAGCAGTTGTGCGTTGTGTTAATAAGAACAATACGTAAACATGTGCTGCCAATCGCGGAATTATAGCGCCGTGGTGTTACATCACCGTGACATTATTCCTAATACACTTTATCAAAACGTAAATTCAGTGACGTCGTCGGAGTGAAAGCCTCTGGTGGGTATCCGCCGTCCGACTGCGTTCAATCCAGTCATAGCTGCTGGGTAAAGTAGAATTTGGGGGAGATTAAAGAAACTTGCCCCCATCACTTCAACCTGCCGTATCGCCGGAAGATCAAATTCAACCGACGACCTCGGATTGCAAGTCCAGCGTGCTAACCGTTTCACCGTGGCAGACAATCCGGCCCACGGGATAATCAAGGAGTTAACTCCACACGTGTTCAGTTTTACATAAATATAAACAAATATCCATTAAGATGGCATTTGTGTCGCGCCGTTCTCCCCAAGCATCGCTGCGGCGGTGCCCGTGAGGTCGTTACCGGCCCTGCCGCGGCACCGCAGCTTCCCAATGGTGTGGTAGGCCATCTCGAGCGGCGCGTCGCGCGTGTCCCCCAGGTGAAGGGCGCGCAGCGGCAGCGCTGCCCGCGACGTCAGCAGGCCCTCGTCCCCACGCCAGATGTGGTCGTTGGCGTCGCAGTTGCACGGCTTGCCGGGGGCATAGCAAGAGTCTGCAGCAGCGGCAGCAGACGTTGGTCAACGTTCACTGTTACTTTTGCATGCATGCATGTTGGACTTCTTTCTCACCGTGCGGAGCCAACAGTGCTCAAGGTTGAGGTTCAAGGGGTTATCAAGTCGTCTCTCTTAGTTGAAAACGCAGGTGTTCTTTTTTTGTATAGGGGGTCCCATATTAATGCGCCGGACTCATCCGAGTTGATTTTATTTGCAGGTAAAATAAGTTCGCTAATGAGGGCATGTCGACGCGTCGGCAGAAACAATAACAATCACGCACGACTGGCGATGTCTCTGGCCCTGTTCCGCACCGGTGCACACTAAAGTGTCCGCGGAGAAACGATGGATTAATTGACAAAACATTGAGCTGAACTGAGATAAGCCGATTGCCTTCAGACCACACAAACCAAGAGGCAGCCCCTGATGTAGATTGACAAACGAAGACCAAGAACCCCCGTATGTCCTTAACAGGCATCTGGGGCAAGTGCTGTTAGCACCTATGAAGGCCGGCATGGCGCACAAAGGAGTGGATGGCCAGCACCACGCTCTGCTGCCTTTGTATCCCGAGTGGCGATGTTTACACACCACACCAGGTAATTGTTAGAGACTAAGTCGACCTAGGGGAAGCACAGAACCGGTTCCGATAAACGTCACTGGTGTTGGCCGAGAGCTGGAATCAAACCCGGGTAGCCAGGTTCATAGCAAAGAACGCTAACCTCTAACACCGCTGGTGTCCCTACATTAATCCACCCTCCTCCCCCCCCCCCCCGTCAACCCTGGGTACAATGTCAGCAACTTTTGGGAATTTTACTTTGAATAGAAGTGTGTTAATGCATATGTGTTTGACTTTTGCACGGTTTTTCTGTCACTCAATGTATTTTCTTCATGTAAGACTGCTCATCTGGACACAATATTTAAAGTGTATTTATCTCAGCACCCTGTGGTGTATATCAGAGTCTCCAACTATTACTCACTCTCTTTGACCTCTCGATTATATTCTTGAATATGATGGCAACATCTTCAGGGGCTCAATGCCAACATTGAGATCTGCTAGCCACGAGTGGGCTTCAGGAGAAAGTTCGTGCAGTGTTGCTATTCCTCCATTTGAAGGAGCTATGACTCCGGTGATCCATTGTTTGGGTTGCATGGCCAAAGTCGCATTGTGGTTATCTCTCTGTTTACGTGCTACGAAAGAGGCCTATTGCCCGACACGTCGGCCATTATATTTTTGTTCACCATCAGGCATGCTCAATCCACTGATGTATGAAGACCTCACCAAACTGCAAACACCTCTCACAACCCTGCGATGCAACAATATATTCAGCAGCTACAAATTAACTGATTTCATTTATCCATCTCCGAGATGGACATCCCCTTGGACGCGTTCCATTCTATATGGCTGCCACTCCGTTATTATTCTTGACCATCATCCAAGCCCAACTTTTTTCCTTTTAGGAAACACAAATCACGGAAGATGCGGATACCGAATGCGCAAGTGGAGAATAAGACTCGATCTCCTGTGTGTGACTGCATCTACAAACTCCAATACATTGACCACATAACTTGACACTAAATATAAAATTGAAGGCCGTGGGTTTTTGCAGACAAACCAACTGAATGGCTAAATTCCTTAGAGATCATTCTCAAATAGTGGCTCTTCATTGACCATACGAACTCATAATCATCATCATCAGGGCAGTGTTATTGACGCACGCGTCGAGTCTGTGCGTCTGACGCTGCGTCTCACCGGTCATGCCGCACGCACACTTCCCGCTGCCCGGCTCGGCCCCTCCCCAGTGGAACATCCTCCGTCCGTCCCACGACACCCACCATCCCCAGCCGGCCCCCAGGAAGCGGATGTGGCGACAGTGGAGCTGCGACGGAGCGAGAAGGTTTCGCTCATCCTCGGCCGCTCCGCACATTGCTGGATCGATACGACGACGACGACGCGCGTGCATGTGTGTGTGTGCGGCGTACGAGCACCAATGAGCGGGAACGTGCAACCAGGAAGACCAAACTCAAGTTAAAATTGAGGTCAATACTAGGAGAGCCAATTCCACGGCTGTCCAGTCGCATACGGCATATCCGCCGTCAACGATTGACAAGGAAGGCAGCCGTGCGAAGAAAGCTATGCTGTTTATGGTGCGTAATATGTGACAGCCCGCTGCATGAATGCGGGGAGCAAGAGAGCGTGCAACACATTGTCTCTGTCTGTGAAGTGGGTCATAGCGTGCTGGGCGGACTCGTTGTCCTGCACGTGCTGGGGGCGGATGCTGTCACATGGCTCTGTGGCTACCTAAGTGTGCTGACGAACATTCGCATATAACACCGACATACATATGCGTTTATTGAATTATATATATTTTTTGTGTAGCTTGTGCTCCAACTGTATGAAAGTCACGCGTAAAAGTATTCGCCAAATAAAAATATGGAAAATAGAGGTGCGAACATTCGATAGCAGATGTCTCGTGTCTGGCGCTGGCACAATAATGACGACGAATTATTGGCGCGGTCACCTTGACGTGCTGCTCGCAGTCGCTGGAGACGGCGACGAGTGCTCGGATTTGGTGGAACTTGGCGTCGTAGCGAACGTCGCGCCGGTAGCAGCCGGCCTCCTCGCACGGGGACACGCGCATGCGCGCCTCACTATCGTGGCCGACCTCTGTGACCCCTGGTGGACGCACAGGCAATGGGGGATCCGAGATTTGAGTATTGGGTTAATCTACGTAATGATACGATTAATTACGTGTCGTGAACCCCTCCTCCACCCGACACAGGCGTTTAAATGCACCAATGATTATATTTATTATTACTGAGCGGGTAGAGTCAGCGTTTAAACAGCAGGCGACGTGACACCGGCTTAGTGGAGTGGTGGAGCAAAGTGGTGTTGCGCTTCAGACCATTTGACGCTACAGCACACGGGCCGAGTGCTGATAAATAGTTGACGCTGTAAATTTTGAAGCGGAACATGCGTGTGAAGTATTCTGTGAGGTTTCTATGAACCCTGTAAAAAGGGAATCTGATTCAGGGAGGCATGGAAAGAATAACCCCCTCCAGCAAACTGATGCATTGTCACAATTCAGAGTCTTAAAATCAACTCAAGAATTGATGATTGGTTTTTTTTTTGTCTCGCTTAGGGGTCAGCAACCAAAATAACAATAAGATTTAAAAAATTCGAATTCAGTAGAAAATGCTTGTGAATACAAGACGGTGGTTCTTGATAAAGAACGTGACGAGGCATGCAGCTGCGGAGCTGCAGCTTGCCGACCCCCTGGTCTTGCTTCGAATATTTAGTTTCGCATTTTTTCTCTAGTTTTTGTGCTTCGTTTGTATAATTTTGTTCCCTCGATTAAGCTGAATGGAGCATTACCGTATTATTTTTCCTATGTTTTGTATAAATTCTCAACAAATAATTCTCACAATCATTAATCGATGCGTGCATAGTGAGCGTAAGAGATTGATTAAAGTCGCTCAATTGATGTATCCTTACAGCCTATCTGCTCATAATTAAAATGTATTTGTGTGGTGGCAGCGGGCATCTGTCTGGGCTGAAGCATACACTCTGCCCACGGCTGCCCACAGTCGAGCACGGGCACCTGAAGCGGGGTCGGAGGTCATGTCACAGAACACCTCGAACGGGGCCGCCTTGCCCCTGGGCCCGTCCGGGTCCACGGTGTACCTCCCGGACAGCAGCACGCCGGCCTCCCTGAGCGCGGCACACGACTCCAGCACGGCCGGCCTCGGCCCTGAGATGGCAACGCGACACCACCGCATCACGCGCCGCCGCGCGCCGCTCGACCGCGCGCTGTGCCCGTTGCATGCATTATTTACGGCCGTCAAACGCCGCCGCCGATGCTGCCCCCCCCCCGCCCCGGCCTCCCCTCCTTCACCCCGCGCCCCACGGAGCGGCGGAGGTGGCGGCACCACCACCGCCATCGGCGTCGTCCCTCGCGTACGTTTCACGAGGGTGAGCTTGGCCGAGAAGCCCTCGTGCTCCACGGAGGCGTCTGACTTGAGCACGAGGGTCAGAGAGTTCCCCGAGCTGTGCAGCGGGAGTGGCAGCTTGAAGCCGCAGAACCTGGAGCCAGAGACACAAAGAGACACAACGAGACACAAAGAAACACGAAGAGACACGAAGAGACACAAAGAGACACAAAGAGACACAAAGCAAATTAGAGCCAGCAACGAGAGCCGAGGCCATTATTCCGTGACGTCTCCACAGCGCTTGTGCCAGGCTCGAAATAGATTAGAGGTCGTCACGTGAAGTGTCGAAGGCTGACAGGTCATGGGACAGACAAGTGCCATGGGTTGACTGTCCAGGACAACTTGCAGACGTGCCACCTGTGCTCCCGACTGTACCAACTCGCTGCATTTTAGCCACCCGGCCCCTCCACTCGTTGCCGTAAGCATCACTCCAAAAGACGCACACACGCTCGTGCACTGCACCGCCAGTAAGCGGCAAGTCGGTGGGTGGCGAGTACCTCCCAAGGAGCCTCCTGCCGGCCCCCGTGCCGTCGTAAACGCTGAGCGAGTCGTAGTCGCAGTGGCGCCGCTCCTCCAGACCCAACGCCTGCACGGCCAAGCGCAGCGTGAACTCCGGCGGCGCCCGCACCTCCCACGTGCAGTCGGCGCCGCTCGGGTAGGCGCGCGGAAACCCCGGACTGCGGATCTCGCCGGCCCGCGTCCAGGCCAGCACGCCACCACATGTGTCTACCGAGACACGGCCACCGTAAAATAATATTCGTTGCATCAAATTTGGGAAATTAATTACCGCGGCTGAGACACGCTGATTTTTCAGTTCAAGCCGGGTTCACGTTTCGCATGTAACACGTGCACAGGTCACGTTGTGCGGCCCTCTCGAGAAGGCGTCATTCTTTAGTTGAAACTTTGCAAGGTCAGCCAGAATTAAAGCATCACAGGAAAAAAAAAACCTGTGAAGTCAAACAAGGCTTAAGAGCTTAGCGAGTAAAGAGTAAATATTGGTTTTGTCATAACCTGCCGTTGCGCGTTATTACGCGTCACTTTTTTTCACAGCCCTTTGTCAATCCACTGCTAGATGAAAGCCTCTACTCACGCCGATGTGGACAAGGTGATTGTTTGACCATACTTCACCCTGATCAGCAGTGCGAGTTGGTGAAGGAAGGTTGGCCCAGGACCGGTTGAGATATCACCCGCCTGCTGATGTTATAGCCCAGAATAGAACTGAGGACGCCGGGCTAAGAGGACAGTGTGGGAAGCACTACGCCACCACTCCACCCCCGTTATATTACAATGCGTAATTGTGATACTGTCAGCATTATATAATTTATAGCGTCCAGTATTGCCAGCTCTTCTGCCATTTCGTGAGAATGAAAACAATTGTGCCAGCTCCCCCCCCCCCCCCCCCCCGAAAACCTCACAATGCGCACACGAGCCCCCGCCGGTCGCGTTATACCGACGGGGAGTGGCTCGGAACCGTCAGGCGGTGGCTCCGCGGTGCTGCCCAGCGGAGGCTCTGGATGCCCCCGGGACGAGTCCGTCGGCGCCGGCAAGGCGGGGGTCTGCGTGTCACCTCCGAGATTAGTGCCAGACTCCCAGCGGAGCTCCGCTCCAGATGTGCTTGAAACTAATTTCTCGGCGTCCGTTGTTGGGCGCGAGACGACAGCGGCGTGCCGCGTGCCGTGCGGGCGGCGGCTCGTGAGCGCAGTCGCGCTTTGTCGAGCGGTGGTGCCGAGTTCTCCTGCGATCGGGCCGGACGGGCTCGTCACAGGCGGCTTCCCGTGGGACGCGGCGTGAATTTCTTCCGTGGAAGCGGCGATTAGGTCAAGTTTGGTGCGAGTTCTTGGGAGACTGGTGCTCACCGCTCGATTCAAATGCGGCTGTAAATGTAGAGTGGGTTTGGAGGTGAATTCTGGCGTTTCCTGTGACCCCGCAATTGGTGTCCGCAATTCAGGCATATCTGGAGGCTGTGTGTTTAAATGCTGCTCAGAGAGACGTGGTTGAGTAGTATCCTGAGGGTTTTCTGGTCTTTCAGATCGCTCATGGAAAACACTTTCCTCCATGCGTGTAGCGAGAGACCCTGTGAGCAGCCCAGGTGTAGTAACACCGATCGAACTGTCCATGCGGTCCATAACATCAGAACTACTGTTTTCTATTGCGCCTGCAATCGGGTGGAGTGTGGTCTGCGATGCTCCACCATGAGCGGGACCGGCCGAAGCTGTTAGGCCGGGTGTCAGTGCCGCCAATGTCGGGGTCACGACGCTGTCGTGTTCATTCGTCGTGACCGCTTGTGCCTGCACCTGCGGGACGGAGCCGAGCGAAACGCGAGCCGTCGCGTCGTGCCTTGGCGCAGCCCAAACTTTCGATCCGCCTGAATAATTCACGTTGCCCCGAGGGCCGCCGGTCTCGAGTCGAGTTGCCTCATCCGCCCGCGCGGGAGCAGCAGCAGCAGCAGCAGCTGTTGTTGTTGTTGTTATGAGACGCGAGCTCGCCTGCTGCGTGGGACGAGGGGGCGGCCACACGCGTAAACGTGCGGCCGCGGTGCGCGCACTCAGCGATGCCGCTCCGAGAGACGTTTCATCGTCAGCGTGTTTCTGCGCAAACTGTGGCACCTCGCCGTCCTTTGCTCGCGCGGACGGCGTTACCGTTGGACACGGTGTTTGTGCACGGGTGTTCGGGGTCGACACGGTCTCACTGCTGTCAGTCGGCTGTGGTTTTTCTTGCGCCGCTGTTTGTGGGGTCGCGTGGCGACCCGCCCACGGCAGCGTCGTCGGCGCCGGCGCAAATGTTTTGGAAATGTTGCCGTGGCTGTCGATGACAGACAGCCGAGAGGCTGTGGGCTCAGACGAAGGTACAGTACTGCGGGGCGCTGTGCCACTTCTGACGTCCTGCCACGCGAGCATCCCAGGCCTGAACAAAGCAGACATCAAATGACCTCCCGTGACACGAGCAGGCACAGTGGGGTGTGCTTGAAGTGACCTTTGTTGGGTTGTGTTGTCTTCCAAAACATTACCCAACAAACGATCATTAGCCCCAGACTGACGGCTAGATGTTAAATGCTCATGGCCATGAGAGGTAATTAACAACTGAACTGACTGCGTAGGCTTAGAATCATCTGCTACTTGTAAAATCTTTGCTCCATCACTTAGCCCAAGGCGGGACTCGACGACACCCGCTGTCAAATGAACCTCGCCGTGTGCGTGCGTGACCTCGTCAATCGAGGCTCTTCCTCCGGGCCCTCCTGGGTGTTTGACCTGAACCGGCGCCGCTGTCCGTGACGGCGTGGCGGCCTCGCGTGCCACTCCGACCTCGTTCGTTTTGACAGCGTCCAAAAAAGACAAGCGCAGCTTTTCGTAATCGCTGGCAGCTGCTCGTGTGATTTCGCGAGCGGTTCCCCATAGGATATGTGACGTCTCCTCCCTCTTTGTATTGGCAGCAGCAGCTGCACCGCGATGCTCAGCCGACGAAGGCTGCGCGAGAGGCGCCGCGTCTCCACTGGTAAACGATGGCACCGAGGGCCTCCCCCTCTGCTCAGTGGCCACGACATCCCGCGCCGCTTGCAAATCTGCGTGCGATGCAGAAAAGGGTGACGTGGGCGGTACTTTGTAGATGTCATTCAATTTGTTAGTTGTGGGCACCGGGACCGTAGTGGTTTCGGGATCAGGCATTTCTTGACCCCATACATCCTCTAATTTTCGAGCAAGGGGAATACCAGCAGCAGCAGCAGCAGCTCCACTTTGCCCATCAGGATCTGGAGAGGCTACCATTGTGACTGAAGAACTTTCACTCGTGGCCCCAGTTGTGGCGCAGCACTGAGAAGCGTGCACGACCCTCGAGCTCTGACCTCGCGTCGGGTGCGGAGGTCCGGGCGGATTGTGCGATCGCTGCGCTGACGTTTCCGAGGTCGTCGAGGTTCGGTCGACGATCGGGACGGAATTACTGCGGCCCTGCTCGTCGCCACTCAAGAACAATCTCGCTTCCTCCCGAGCATCTCCCGGTGCAGTGAACGCGCGTAAATCTGAGTCACCGGTCACGGACAGATCCCGTGAGAATTGGGCCGGGGCCTGCACGCTGGTGGCAGGGCTCTCTGGGCCGAGCGGCTCAGTCGTTGCCGCTGATGGTTTGCGATTGGCAAACGTCTCAGGCCTACTGGAATTGACATCGAATCGGGGCTGCGGATCAACCGCAGTGAGGGCCGGTGGCAGTGACTCTGCGATCACTTGCTCAGCTCCCGCGAACATGGGCGAAGTGTAGGGGATGTCATCCTTAGGCTGTGGCACAATGCCTGGAGGCAGAACCATCACTCGGGGCAGGAACGTTACTGTCTCCAGCAATGGTTCTGTCACAAGCGATGGTTCTGTCAGCACTGATGGTTCTGTCAATAGTGATGGTTCTGTCAATAGTGATGGTTCTGTCACTAGTGATGGTTCTGTCACTAGCGATGATTCTGTCAATAGCGATGGTTCTGTCAATAGTGATGGTTCTGTCACTAGCGATGGTTCTGTCAATAGTGATGGTTCTGTCAATAGTGATGGTTTTGTCACTAGTGATGGTTCTGTCACTAGCGATGATTCTGTCAATAGCGATGGTTCTGTCACTAGCGATGGTTCTGTCACTAGTGATGGTTCTGTCACTAGTGATGGTTCTGTCACTAGTGATGGTTCTGTCAATAGCGATGGTTCTGTCACTAGCGATGGTTCTGTCACTAGTGATGGTTCTGTCACTAGTGATGGTTCTGTCACTAGTGATGGTTCTGTCACTAGCGATGGTCCTGTCAATAGTGATGGTTCTGTCACTAGCGATGGTTCTGTCACTAGTGATGGTTCTGTCACTAGTGATGGTTCTGTCACTAGTGATGGTTCTGTCAATAGCGATGGTTCTGTCACTAGTGATGGTCCTGTCAATAGTGATGGTTCTGTCAATAGTGATGGTTCTGTCAATAGCGATGGTTCTGTCACTAGTGATGGTTCTGTCACTAGTGATGGTTCTGTCACTAGTGATGGTTCTGTCACTAGTGATGGTTCTGTCAATAGCGATGGTTCTGTCAATAGTGATGGTTCTGTCACTAGCGATGGTCCTGTCAATAGTGATGGTTCTGTCACTAGCGATGGTTCTGTCACTAGTGATGGTTCTGTCACTAGTGATGGTTCTGTCACTAGTGATGGTTCTGTCAATAGCGATGGTTCTGTCAATAGCGATGGTTCTGTCACTAGTGATGGTTCTGTCACTAGTGATGGTTCTGTCACTAGCGATGGTTCTGCCAATAGTGATGGTTCTGTCAATAGCGATGGTTCTGTCAATAGTGATGGTTCTGTCACTAGTGATGGTTCTGTCACTAGTGATGGTTCTGTCAATAGCGATGGTTCTGCCAATAGTGATGGTTCTGTCACTAGTGATGGTTCTGTCACTAGTGATGGTTCTGTCACTAGTGATGGTTCTGTCAATAGTGATGGTTCTGTCACTAGTGATGGTTCTGTCACTAGTGATGGTTCTGTCAATAGTGATGGTTCTGTCACTAGCGATGGTTCTGTCAATAGCGATGGTTCTGTCAATAGTGATGGTTCTGTCACTAGCGATGGTTCTGTCAATAGCGATGGTTCTGTCAATAGTGATGGTTCTGTCACTAGTGATGGTTCTGTCACTAGTGATGGTTCTGTCAATAGTGATGGTTCTGTCACTAGCGATGGTTCTGTCAATAGCGATGGTCCTGTCAATAGTGATGGTTCTGTCACTAGCGATGGTTCTGTCAATAGCGATGGTTCTGTCAATAGTGATGGTTCTGTCACTAGCGATGGTTCTGTCAATAGCGATGGTTCTGTCAATAGTGATGGTTCTGTCACTAGTGATGGTTCTGTCACTAGTGATGGTTCTGTCAATAGTGATGGTTCTGTCACTAGCGATGGTTCTGTCAATAGCGATGGTCCTGTCAATAGTGATGGTTCTGTCACTAGCGATGGTTCTGTCACGATTGAAGGTTCTGTCAATAGTGAAGGTTCTGTCACTAGCGATGGTTCTGTCACTAGTGATGGTTCTGTCACGAGCGATGGTTCTGTCACGATTGAAGGTTCTGTCAATAGTGATGGTTCTGTCACTGGCGATGGTTCTGTCACTAGTGATGGTTCTGTCACTAGTGATGGTTCTGTCACGATTGAAGGTTCTGTCAATAGTGATGGTTCTGTCACTAGTGATGGTTCTGTCACTAGCGATGGTTCTGTCACTAGTGATGGTTCTGTCACTAGTGATGGTTCTGTCACGATTGAAGGTTCTGTCAATAGTGATGGTTCTGTCACTAGTGATGGTTCTGTCACTAGTGATGGTTCTGTCACGATTGATGGTTCTGTCACTAGTGATGGTTCTGTCACTAGTGATGGTTCTGTCACGATTGATGGTTCTGTCACTAGTGATGGTTCTGTCACTAGTGATGGTTCTGTCACGATTGATGGTTCTGTCACTAGCGATGGTTCTGTCAATAGTGATGGTTCTGTCACTAGCGATGGTTCTGTCACTAGCGATGGTTCTGTCACGATTGAAGGTTCTGTCAATAGTGAAGGTTCTGTCAATAGTGATGGTTCTGTCACGATTGAAGGTTCTGTCAATAGTGATGGTTCTGTCACTAGTGATGGTTCTGTCACGATTGAAGGTTCTGTCAATAGTGATGGTTCTGTCACTAGTGATGGTCCTGTCACGATTGAAGGTTCTGTCAATAGTGATGGTTCTGTCACGATTGAAGGTTCTGTCAATAGTGATGGTTCTGTCACTAGTGATGGTTCTGTCACGATTGAAGGTTCTGTCAATAGCGATGGTTCTGTCACTAGTGATGGTCCTGTCACGATTGAAGGTTCTGTCAATAGTGATGGTTCTGTCACTAGTGATGGTTCTGTCACTAGTGATGGTTCTGTCACGATTGAAGGTTCTGTCAATAGCGATGATTCTGTCACTAGTGATGGTTCTGTCACGATTGAAGGTTCTGTCAATAGCGATGGTTCTGTCACTAGCGATGGTTCTGCCAATAGTGATGGTTCTGTCAGCACTGATGGTTGTGTCTCTAGCATTGGTTCTGTCACAAATGAGAATTCTGTCAAGATTGAAGGGTCTATTACAGGCAATGATTTTGTCATAATCGATGTTTCTGTCAACAGTGATGGTTCTGCCAATAGTAGTGGTTCTGTCACAAGCGATGGTTCTGTCTCCCATGATGGTCCCAGTGATAATCCCGGTGATGGTCCTGCCCTTGGTGACGGTCTTGTCTCCAGTAACGATTCTGCCTCCGGTGATCTTGTCGACAACGGCATTGTCATCTGCAGTGACGGCCCTGCCTCTGTAGAAGTCTCCACTTCTGGAGATGGTTCTGCTTCTCGTGATGGTGAAGATGCCATTCCTTTCCCCGGTGACGGTCCTGCCACTGGCGATGGCCCAACATTCAGTGATGGTCCTTTCTCTTGCAACGCTTGCGTTTCCACAAAAGATCCTGTCCCGAGCAATGTTTCTGTCACAAGGGACGATCTCGTCTTCGCCGTAGGTCGTTCCGCCCCTCGTGATATAACTATTGACGCCGGAGAGCTCCTGGCCGGCACGTTGTCTGGCCGCGAGCTCACGTCGCTGACGGTTTTAGCTGTCGACGCGAGCCCTGTCGTGGCGGTCGATGCGACGGCCACCTCGTCGTCGTCGTCACCGCCACCGCCGTCGCCAAAGCCGTAGCAGAACGCGTCCCACCTCTCGGTGCTCGCGTTGCGCACGCCGTACGAGATGATTCCGGTGCGGTGCTGCCCGCAGCGCCACGTGGCATGGATCCTCGGGTAGGCCACCTCGCGCGATGCCAGCCAACCGGCGCGGCAGTCCTCCATGCCGGCGCGCAGGGCGGTCGCCAGCTGCTGGTGAGACGCCAGCTCTGCCCCAAACACCTCGGCGCACGCGTGCCGTGCCTCGGGGAAGCTCAGAGAGTAACGGCGGCCCTGGTCGTAGTGAAAGACGCCGGCCACGCGCCCTGCCGCACGCACACAGAGAGACACATCCGGACGGCTATTTTGACGAGGAAACTTCATGCGTAAGTATCATTGTCCTCTAGCAAGACGAGTTTCTCTGGTCTTGCAAACAGTGATTAATTTTATCCGGGGTCTATCCAGGTTAGAAAGCTAGAACTAGTCCACACGGGCACACCGCATCCACATTGCAAGGAAGACCGCAAGCAGGTAGTCATCTTCTCCCTGTTTTGGATTCGTGAAAATGTCTGCGTGGAGTTTTGAGTGTTCCACAGGTTTTCCGTTTTCCTCGTTCATGTCTAAACACTCAATAGATTCAGCCAAACGTCGCAATGCAGGACCCTCTTGAGAAAGTGTTTTGAAACTCTGAGGCTTTCCTGCATGAGTAAAGGGCATTATTATTATTATTATTTTTGCAATAGGCACTTGGCACCTTCCCTGGAGCAACGGCTCGCACGCATTTCTTTGTCTCGTCTTTAACGTTTTTTTTCTTTCGCTCATAAAAAATCATGAGCAAAGTTACTCAAGGGGCTATCACAATTTTAGAGCACTTAGCAGGGTTCAAATATGGGCACAGCTACCCACGATTAAAGGAGTTTCTCATGTGCAGCAATGTGATGGTTTCAGCCAGGTCACAAACTACAACACAAGAGCATGTTTTTCCTCTGTGCTTTGATATGCAATGAATATCCCATTTTCTGGGCATGTAAAGTTCGTCTCGAGTGTGGATCGAGGTCTATTATATTTAAGTGACTTCCCATTTAATGCTGTGAAGTTCTCTTCTGGGCTCATTCTGTCACAGGGTGATACACCGTTAGCTATGGGAGTTCTAAACGCAACTTCTCACAACATTATGCCAATAGCATGTCATTATAATGGTAACAAAATGGTTCTGCAAAAAATAAGTTTTACATTTCAGTTTAAACAACACGTTGTCGTAACTGACAAGGCACAAACGCATCATGCACATATGTATAATAAAAAGTGATCATTGTTCATGGCAATGGCGATGCATTTAAGTATATTGCAGCTCAAATGCAACGTTCCCATTGCACAGCAAAACAATACCCCCGATTTGTAAATGCACCCAGTCCTTACTTTTCAGGTAGAATTTTGCAGGCAGCGCCGCGCTCTCCGTCACGGGCACCAGCGCAGCCAGCAAAAGAGCACATGCTAGGGCACCCATCTCTTCGGCACCACCACCTCACGGCACCCGCACGCCGCTGATGCACACTGCTGCACGGGCGCCTTTACGGGTGAAAAGTTGACGGTGCCGCGGTGCGGTTTGGATGAGCACGTTTCTTCACAAACCCTCGTCACATCGACTAGCTTCCCGTCGTCAGCATCCAGCGCCGAGTACAGGCGAGCGGTTTCATCAAATCCCCAAGAGAGGCCGTTTGCGAACGACCGCTTCGCTGGGGAAGCATCAGAATTGGCGAGCGCCGCCACCACCACTGCACAGTTAAGAATTGTGAAGCAGTGCTCAGAAACTTTGGCTGCCCCCCTTCGTCAACTCGGGCTCCTACCCTGCGCTTACCTCATCGGAAACCCCTGCCAATGCAACAGCCACCCACGCAGAACAGCAGCACGCCACGTGGCCTCCGAGGAGAGGCTAAAACGCGCGTGCACACACACACAACATAAGGCACAGACTGAAGCAATTTGAAGACATGCGAGCGCTCGATGAGGAATGTAGCGATGCTGGGTTAAAACACAGGCGACTGTGGATCGGGGCTGAGACAAGCGAGCGGCAGAGCCAGTTCAAGTAACGCTTGTTTGCCAGCGAGGTGCTAATTAGGAGCTTTCCCAGAGCTGCGCGGCAGCACTCAAGGCATTCCATGCGGGTGAGAACAGAAGCCAAGGCCAGTTCACTGTTTTCGTGGGAAAATTCTACCGGTAACCATACATTCAGTCGTGTACTTTAACGATGTATTTATATACGTGGAAGCGCAAGACCAAAACCAGCTGGAAAACAATATCATGCAACGTTTTAGCGCTAACAGAGTGCGGCGCTCGACTCGGCGCTTCGGCGGCAAGGTTTGGGGGATCGAGCAGACGTGTTAAAATTCCCAAACTCAGTGAGCGAAATGCAACTGAAGAGGAGAGAGTCGTCAAGCAGATGGGCGATCTGCAAGACATTTGAAGGTTCTCGTGAGATTGACTGGGCAGTGTGTGGCAGCAGCAGTAGGTGCTACCTGCATCACCTCTTCACATAGGTGGTGCGCGCCACCTACACCTCTCCCAGATCCTGCGTCTTTACAGTAAATCCCCAAAGACTCTAAAGTATGACTCAATGGAGCAGGGACGGCAGAGGAGACGGACAATAACGCAAAAAACTTGAAAAGGTCAAACGCCGATGAGGAATGCCCACTGATTTATTGAGTCGAGTGTTTTTAGGGAAATTTTACGATACCATGAAGAAAAAAAAAACTTTACATTCAAATGGTTTTAGCAAATCAAACCATTGATAAATCGACAACCATAACTTCAAGCAGTTTTAACTATAACCCTGCATTCCAAACCAGTGGTGGAAACAAATGTAAACCTCCACGTAATGACTTGCAATGATCCCTTTTCTTTATAGGTTATAGACGAAGGTATGGATATAGTTCTTTTAAAATATTTTCTACTGTACTTAAATTTGAGGCAGCATACAGATAACTTTTTTTTTTTACAATTCCTTAAAGGGAATTACAATACCAATCTTTATGTCGAGATAGCAGCACAGGCATCTAGATTTCTTATCGTAGTAGTAAAGTTACTTAAGTTTAAAGTCACTTAAATCCAGCATCGTAAAATGATCATACACATCAAACACAGAGTAGAAATCAATGAACAAGGAGAATAATGCCGTTTGAAGTTTATAAGTTAAAAACAATAACCTGGCTGTGAGAACACAAAGTCATGATTTTTCCCTGCAATAGTACAAAAGAAAACAAATCAGTAGGATTGCAATTACTACAATACGTGAAAACATTGCACACAATCATCTAACTTGCATACATGTGAGATACATTCACGCGCTAGACATACATAGGTATGCGAGTGTTCTTAGGATGAGCGACGTATTACACCACTAGCGAACGTTAAGCAACACATACATGGCCCGCGAGAATTAACAAATAAAACGAGTTTCATGAATCCCATTCATCCCCAGTGACCCAGGTACCATTTATCCTGTTGACAGACATGTGCCTAGGGTCTGTGTTCAGCACCGTCCAAAGTAGAGTTTGATATGTTGTAAATGGAATAAAAGTACCTAAACATTATGGTCAAGTGTCGTCCTTCCCACGCGAAAGATGTTCAACATACATAATAACAAGTGTGCTGCAATAAGAATACTCTACTTGCATCGCCCCACTGATGTAAATCAAATAGGTGTGTCGATGGAGAATGATGTTACAAGAGGGCGAGAATGAAACACACTTGGATGTAGGTTTCATGTTCCAATTCACCAAGGTTCAAATGAGTGTCAGATAGTACGGGATGCACAGCGCAGGCACATATCTACACGAGCCATTTGAATGTCGAGTTGCATCACATCTGGTGTATGCCAACCTGCTTGTGGACTAGGAAGAAACCCGAGACCCATCAGAATGTAACAAAATCGATTACAGCGAAGGGCATTGTATAGTTCTCGGCGCATTTACGACGATAGCACTGGTTACAATTCCAGACCAGCAGTGCTGGGGAGAAGGGAGGAGGAACCAACATAGATTCAATCATTATCTGTTTTCACAAATCTCTTTAGATGTTGTAGAGCACATGAATTAAGCTTTTTTCAGAGCTCTGGGAACCCACGTAACCCCAGGCAGGACAAGAGGAATCTCTCGGGTGTGGGCCAAATGTTACAAAAATGTGCATTCGGTACGGTGCACGATGACACTGAGCAACTTGTCAAGAGGATACCAGACATGGCGAGTCAAATAATTGTCATCTTTCAGCATTGTGATTCGATTAAAAAAACACCCGACACAATTTAACACTGCAGTGAATTGTAGGCTCTAGAGCCTCCGGGGGTGGGAGTGATGTGAACCTATTAGAGATCACACGGGAGTCAAAAACAAATTCGTAAAAACACATGACACATCAAAATATTTTGTGAGATCAAGCGTCCATATTGCTCAATTAAATGGACCGGTCCATCGTTCCAATCCGAGGGTTGGCCACTCGGCACATGCTGCGATTCGTTAAAGCCAGGTATGCTGTCCAACAGTTTATCTTGAGCGGAGGCCGTGATTATGGAAGAGAGAAAAAGCCTAGCACCCCATCCTGGTTAAATCCACGCCCACCTAACACCCTGCCTCAACATTCAACTGTCAAGTAGGGAGGTGGTGCGAGTCACACCGCACCGGAGACTCAATTAACTGTCATGATTTAGAGTTTCCAGGTTGGAGTTGACAAGGGTCAATACGTTTAACATTGTGAACAATGTAGAGGCCTCTAGTGGCTGGAGGGTTCACATTAAGTCATTACATGCAAAATAATGCAGAACATAAATCTAATATATGCGTTTCGATGCGGATAATGCAAACTTAAGATATTTTTATCGATTTGTTTCAAGTATCGCTCTTTTTTTTATCCACTGCTGGATAAAGGCATCCCTACCTTGTGTGGGTCATGGTATTTGAGCATACAGCACCACCCTGGTCAATGAGGGTTGGTGAAAGTGAGGGGGGCACAGACGTTGGGGTCGAGTACAGTGCAACAACAAGACAATCTTTACCGCTCGAATAATTTACAAAAAGCACGATCGATCGACCGTCCAATGTTCCAGCTTTACAGAGTTTCAAGCTTGGTCCAAGATACGTTTTTTTTCTAAAAACGATTTGGTCAAAGAGACCAACTACTGCATACCAAAGGGTAAAAAGGGAACTTGACAAATAAACATCGGAACAATCAGACAAACATCACCGAGCGACGAGGAAACAACGATTACAGCAAAAAGATTGAAGCGCGTGCCCACGGAACGGCCACGCTTACGTTGCCAAATACTATTCGACAATGATATTATTTCTTATTATTACGCAGTCCAGTAGTGTCACACTTGATTTACTTTATAAAAGTCAAACATGATGATATTTTTCCCCACGCAACCCATCTTACGCATGACTATTGGGTTGCGCAGTTTTGCTTTGCTTGCACGCGGAAACAACTTTATACCGATTCGTGAAACAGCACACTTTGAGAATACAATTCAAGCTGGTGATGTGGGTTCTCCTCAAGAAACCTTGCGAGGATGGTGTCTTGTAACCTCTCTCCCACTGGCACATCCAAACCGCGCTACGGCCATGTCGGGCAGCCCGGCATGTTTTTCCACTGCATAAAGCCAGGCCGTGCCACCGACGTATGCAGACGACGACTTGGTCACGCCGTGTTCTTTGAGTGCACCGACTGATGTCCGATGCGATGATCACGTTCATTAGCCCCACCCTTGGCCATGCACGGCCCCGAGCCAGATTCATGTCTTGTGAGGCAAGTGTATCACGACATAGTTCTGGCTTGCGTTGGCAAATAGCCAGTGAAAGAAACAACCCATGATGAGAGGACCCTGCGCTGGTGCGGCTCGGATGCGCGAGGGTAAAAAGGGCATCTCGGCCCCCAGGTGGAGCGAGTACACTCGGCACGAGGACAGCAGCATGGAGGGAAGAGGAGGCAGGCGCGCTCACCGTCACCCTCCTCCCAGCCAGTGGAGCCATTCCTCTGCTGTCCTAGCGGGAGTTCTCTCGCTGGATCTGGTAGCAGCAAGCCTGTAGGGACACAGCAGCCATGTAACCGTCCGCCCACCCACACCTGGCAATTTCATTGTTACCATCCAGGGTTGAGAATCAATTTCAGTGCCTCGAAGTGACAGCAAAGGTCACATGAAGCTGTTCGACAAGGCATACGAATAATATATTCTCACACGCACAATCTGATGCATGTTCGTCGAGTGTAAACATTAATTTTAATTGACGAATCGATGCATGCACTCAGTAGCCTCTAGACCACGTAAATCCTCTACGTGACGAAGTGAACAAAATAATATCTTTGCCGAGGCTCAGTTTTGCCAATATCGCTACTTCCAGGCACATATTTTCTAATTGTTGGGACTTGCATGTAGAGCCAAGATAGCTAACTACTGGCACATCCAAAAAAGATACATCAACAAAAATCTGAAGGGCAGGTCTACAGAAATATTTTCCATCACGTTGTATCATTGAGTCGTGCTATTTTCAAGTACAATGATTGTTTGGTACTAAGCAGTTCATCACAAAACATGCAATGCAACTTTCTCCAGGTCATCGCTATTACATATGCATGTATAAGGATCTCATGTGTGACTGTCAATTCAGTTGACAGTCACACAATAATAAATGCAGGCCCAAGGTGGTCCCCAAACTTCGTTGTCACTATCTCCCTCCATGAAGTTTATTCTTTAACACATGGCCATATCGTCCGTGGCTCTCCTCTCTTCTGCTGCACTCACCTCCAAAACTCCATAAGCATCTCCCCTTATTTGGACAGCTTCTTGAAATGTGGTCGCATTTAGGTGCCATACAAATCTAAAGTTTAATGTTAACATGATAAAAAAAATCTATTTTGGATGGTGCCTTTCACAAAACAAATGTTCCAAAGCACTGTACAACCTGAAACAAAAAAACAATTACAAACCAAAAACACACGCAACTAAAAAATAATAATCTAACTTTAAAAAGTCTGAATACAAAAATTAATTTTAAGATTGAGATTTCAAATTACTGACGGTACGCAGAGATTCTAACAGCCTTGGAAAAAAATTCCAGTCTTGATGTGAGCAGAGGAACAGAACTGCTCTGTCACCCATGGAGCGAAGTCTAATTTTAGGAACAAGCAAGAGTCCAGAGTCTGATGAACGAAGGTCAAGTGTGGGTGCATAGCAGGAGAACAGATCTTAGGTACGATGGAGCCACACCATTCAGGGCCTTGTATGATAGTAACAGGCTCTTAAAATAAAACCTATATATCACAGGCAACCAATGTAAAGATGCCAGAGCAGGAGTTATATGATCATAGGATTTAGTTTTAGTTTGATGTGAACACAAGCAAGGACAGTCAGGGCATCACACCCCACATGCCTTGAGGGTGATGAGCATGATGCCCTGTTCCCCGTCTCTCAGGTGGTCATCCATCAGATCCTCAATGAGCTGCACCTCGGCCCCCAAGTGTCGGATCCTGTGCGCGCACAAAAAAAGACACTTGAAAAAGATCCCCCATATGGCCTTAACAGCCTGTCAGCGAACACCTTAGAAGGCTGGCCCCACACACGAGGGGGTAGGATGGCCAGCACCACGCCTGACCGCCTTTGTCTCCCTAGCAGTGATGTTTACACATTGCATCAGGTACTCATTTGAGATTGAGTCGATTTAGGGAAGGCCCATAACCGGTCAAAATAATCGTCACTGGTGTTGGCTCTGAACAGAAATCAAACTTGGGTCGCCAGGTTCGTAACATAGTGCGCTAACCGCTGCATCACTGCTCCCCACGTACACACACACACGGGTGGAGGCAAGGTCACCGGCTAAACATTAACATGAATACATGTGCATGTACAGCCCTTTTGTCAAGCCACTGCTAGATGAGGGCCTCCCCACAACATGCGATTCAAAGCGGATTATTTGATTTTGGGTCACCACGCTGGTCAGTTTGAGTTGGTCAAGGCAGGGCAGACGTGAAAGCATAGTACAGTTTAACAATGGATTTTTCTGCACTGCCTTCTGCTGCCAGCAGAGCTGTTTTGTAAAACGTGTTTCTACGTTCTCTTGCTACAGGGTGACCCAAAAAAAACGGGCCCCGTGCACACTTTATGTGATATCTCCTTTATTTATTCACCGATTGCCCTTATTTTACAGGACATGGCAGAATCAACGACCGTGAGTACACCAAGACCCCAGTGGGAGCTGGGACAAAGAATACACTGTGTTACATTTTACTACAAGACAGGCTCGTTTAAGAAAACCCAGGACAGTTTCATGCGTCAGTTCGAATGTGAAAAGGCTCCATCCAAAAGCAGAATTCAGAACTGGGTGGACCACTTCGAGAAGTATGGGACCGTGGAGAACCTCAACGCTGCCAGTGAGAACCGTCCAAGCAAGACGGAGCAAGTTCTCACACCTCAAACCTGTCCCGAGATTGGCTGAAAGAGAACTTCGGAGGCCGAGTGATCAGTCTCAAGACTGATTTTGAGTGGGCACCCCATAGCCCGGACCTAAGCCCCCCAGATTTTTTTCTTTGGGGCTATCTTAAGGACAGAGTCTACGCAGGGAAACCCAGAACCATCACGGAACTCAAGGAAGCCATCAGGGAGGAGATGAGAGCCATTGCCAATTCAGTCTGTAAGAACGTCATGGACAACTTCGTGCTGCGCCTCAAGAAATGCACGGAGCTAAATGGAGGCCATCTAGAACACATGCTGTAGAACGGAGAAAAAAAGGCCAAAGACCCTAGTGTTTTGATGTTTTGAATATAATAAACTAGTTATGACCAAAGTTTCATTTCATTCGGACAAAACACTAAGAAACGGGGCCTATTAGAGTTATTAGAGTTGGGGCCCGTTTTTTTTGGGTCACCCTGTATACAGGTTTACTATGTCCTGCAACCAGGGCTTAATTTCAGCCAGATCTGTCCAGGCAGGCGTTGAGGAAGATATGTCCACACCCAGAACAGCACATCCAGAAAATATTCAGTAATCAAAACAATAGCCACCGCGTACTTGGGCCCATGAGGAAGGCCCATGAGGAAATGTGCGTAGCATTGCAACATAATTGTTTTTTTATCCTTTATCTGGCAACAAAACTGACACCTTTTTTTACAAGGAGTCATGTTTGCATAGACCACAATACCTGCAGTCGTAATGCAAACAAAAAACACAACTCTGATAATGTATGCACTGTCCTTGAAGTTGATTGGTCCACACCCGAGACAGCTTTCCTTAGAGCCTAGTCTCACATGGTGTTGGACCAGATGACGCCAAAAGGCGCACAACTCAAAGACAATGCACCATCAGAGTATGAGAGCTCGGGGTAAGCATTTACACCATTGTAACCTCATGTTTCTGTGTTTGCTTCGTCTCAACAACAACAAAAGCCATTCACAACGATGCCCACGTATGTGCCCACGTATGTGCCCACGTATGTGCCCACGTATGTGCCCACGTATGTGCCCACGTATGTGCCCACGTATGTGCGCGCGCGGGGGCAAAGCGGAACGAAAGCAGGGCGAGCGTGGCCGATACCGGCGCTCGTAGTGGTGGCCCCCACCTTGCACGCAGAACAACGAACATGAAAACGGGGATGAGGTCGTCCATCGCCCACTTGCAGCGCTGCTGCCGGGCCTCCTCCACGGCCGCCGTGATGGCACGGAACGTGTCCCCCAGCACCGCCAGCTTCTCCCGCGGCGTGAACTTGGCACTGGGGAGAGCGTGGCGGGAACGCGGCACGGAGCAGAAATGTGAAACGGTGAATCGGCAGACGGGCCCTGGAGAGTCAGCGTGTTTAACGATTTGGATCTCCTGTGATGTAATGAACTATTAAGACTCTAATTCGTTTTAATCTCAGTTTTACTGCGTGGCCATGAATGTGTAACTGTGTTTCAGACACAATGCATCGATGGTAATAGAAATGTGACAATTCACCACACCCCAGCGATTTTGAGTCATCACGAGTCGAGGTCACAACTTTGAATCAAGAATCAATTTCAACCTGATAAAGAATGTAGCAACCTCTAGTGACTGCAAGGGGGTCAAGTGAACATACAACCGTGCCACATTTCCAATTAAGAAAATACTCTTGCACGCATAATCCTTGTTCCAGATCTGGCGGCAATCCATTTAAAATATTACTATGTGCAGGAAATGTCGGTACAGCGTGGAACACGCCTGTAATCCACAACTTTGCAGTCATATAGGTTTGTAAAAATCAGATGCACTGCACTGCGAGGTGACTAGAAGATGGGAGAACAGGAAATTGGTTAATAAATACACCGATATGAACGTTTCACTGTCATCGCCTCACATGCACTAAACACAGAAACATAAATTGGCCAGAAACATAAAGATCCAATAAAACTTTTCTGGATATAGGACATGAATATTATTATAAAAAAACGCACCAAGATGAAGAATTTTCCTGCTGTGCCGCATTGAAGGCAAAACGTTCTGCCATCTGGGACATGATTGTTTGATTTTTCCTTTTCGGCAAAACATTTAATTCCAGTCCGTTAGGAATCTCATTGACTGGCAGATTGTTGTGGAAAGCCTGCTCATGCAAGACTTAAGATCACAAACGCCTAATATAAACGATTGTGAGAAACACTTGAATGAGAAATACAAGTGTCTCACCTGATGAGTTTCAAACAAGTCACCGCCTTCCCAAAACACTGGTTCTTCTGCTCCTGCATCTGCGTGCAGCACAACAAAGGGAACGAGTCTCAGCTCTCTGCATTGACGAATTTAGACAGCCAGGTTTTTCAGAATAAAGTCAAAAGTGAAAATGAGGCTTCGTATACCTGTTTGTCTGCCTGCTGAGCATCGGAGAGTGGCCACAGCTTCCTGTAAAACAGGAGACATCAATAAAAATAATGTAGCCCCAATTAAACCAGCAGCGGAAAGATTGTGCAAAACATTTTTTACCAAACACACCTTACATTTATTTGCTAATGTAAAGCAACTCACATTTCATCACTAAAACTTCCCTGAGGAAAACTTCTTTAAAAGGTAACTTTTAAGGAATTGGCCATTCTTCATAGCAGACAGATACGTGCCAATGCCAGAAATGTCCGTATTTTTTTTACGGAAGTGTTAACGACAAATGTGTTGAGTTTGTTTTTTGTGCGGCACTGCCAACAATTTAGCTTTTTTTTTTCCCCAAGGTGATTCTTTCACCTACTTCTGAAAGAAAACCCTGCGAGTCCCCCACTGCACAACATTGCCTTTCCTAAATAAATCTCTTTGGGTGCCAAGTGTGGTCACGGCACAGAGGCACGGCGTTTGAGCGTACGGGTTCGCCTCGAGGTAGCGCAGCAGGGCCTGGTCCGGCTGCCGGTTGAGGTATGTGAGGTTGGCCCAGTAGCAGGTCACGCTCTCCTCGTCCTGGAGCTGATAGAGCGCCAGCAGCTGAGGGTAGAGGCCGGGCAGCAGCAGGGGCAGGATGAGCCCGTTCCGTGTCACCACCTCCCTAGGTACAACACGCACGCACACCGAAAAGTCAGCGATTTCTCGTTGGTTAAACAAGTGTTGCATGTGATACATTTCCAGAAGGGGTCCCGAGAACATTATCGAAATTCCACATGACTATCATAGTGACAAGGTAATCACAGAAGACCAGCTGCTGTAGCCTTACATATTATACACTGCATAATGTGTAAGGCTACACGTTATGCAGTGTAGCCTTAAATAGTGGGGATAATTTTTTGCCAACTAAAGGGATGGTTGGACCAAATCAACATTGGGCTGGCATATGAACTTAATACAAGCCTTGGTGCTCTACCCAATGAGATACATTTCTGCTATAATGTAGAAAGTAAACACACGTTAGTGAACGTTTATTTTAATCCGGTTTTTGCTGAAAATATAAACACGATACAATTTGGATTTGTATGGCATCTAACCGTGCAAATGGCTCCAGGACCAACAATGGGTGGGAATAAACAATAAAAATCAGCAAGGCAATGGCTTACGCCCACTTCATCTTGAAGATAAAAACACAGGGACATCTACCGATGTGCCTTCCTTACCAGGCCTCATCAGCACTGCCGTCAGGGTCAGAGGAATTCAATTCTACAACCCTGCTTTCTTCCTCCGGCAAGTCTGGAAACAGGAACCTTCACAAAACGACACACAATCACACTTTGATGAAGGGGGTCTTGGCATGTGAAAACTTAAAAAAGTCATCATCATCACAATCCGTGGGCAGATAGCCTGTAAGTGTCCACTGCACATTTCGTCGTTAGTTTCCACTTTCCTCTATCTTGTCCAATATGCTCAAGTAGTGCCACATCTTTCTGACACTAATCTCTTATGTCGTCGTTGTCGTCAAGCCATTCTCTGTTAGGTCTTCCACTCTTTCTGGTTCCTTCCATTTTTCCCGAACAACACACTTTAACATTTTCTGTTGTTGGCCATCCATCATGTGTCCAAATAGTGCCAGACATGTCCAAATAGTGGCAGATTATAATGAATGTGTGCAAAAAAAAATAATACACATTCATTTTTTTTTTTTAATCCACAGCGTGGCACAACAGTGAAAATTGCGTGTGGCACTTGCTGGATGATGGCGAATATGCGCTCCACGTAGTAGGAAATCTCGGCCAACGCAGTGCTCAGAAGCCGCCGGTCGGAGCCGATACCGACGTAGGTTGCTCGGAAGGCCGTGACGAGCATGTCGAGCAACCGGCCCAGTGGGTGCTGCAAGCTGCCGAATGCCTGGAAGGGAAGGGGGTGGGGAGGGCCAACCGTCGGACGTTGGGATTGAGTTGAGACCACATCACCTAAGTCAGCCCCCGCCCCGCCCCCTGCCGGCTCCCAATGTGATCCTCGCACTGACAACAAAACCGCACTGGCACCATATTTAAATCTCCGTAAGACAATGTAACAAGTAGATAACCCAAAGACAATACATCGCATCTGAATTAAAAGAAGACAATACAGCACTTTGATAACCCCAAGACAATGCTTCTAAATAATCGTAAGACAACACAAGGTGGAATTTGGGCTGCGATGGTCACACGCGGGAGCCCCTACCATCTTGAGGTATGCCTGCATGGCCTTGTAGTCCTGGAGAGTCATCATCTTCCCTTGCTGGTAGAGCGGCACTGTCTGCAGAATGCTGTTCTCCTCTCCATCCGACTGTGGCTCCTCCGTCATGCTGGCACCCAAAGGAAAGATCACGATAACAGCCAAGAACATTACACTCAACAGGGTGGCTGTGCATGTCTGAGCAGCACCACGCCCATAAGCTGCGTGAAGGGGGAAAAAGCAGAGCCCTTCAGACACATCCAGATGGCCCAATAGTAGCTGCAGTGATGGCATAAGAGTAGTGTGCATTATCATGCTAAAATCAGGTTTATAGTACGTGAAAGAAAGACTCGTACAGCCAAAGAGGGCTTCTCCGCAACCCATGTGTGTCATGGGGGTTATGTGACCGGTTGAAGGCGAGGGGCATATAGTATGTGGAAGCATGGAAGTAAAATACAACAATATATTTTGCTGGATTGCCATCTGCCGCTCATCACATAGCTCCGCAGCAGCCTACAACAACCTGGTGGTGTGGGCAGGGGCCCTTCTCTTAGTTTGAGACTGCCATGAAAACGCAATGCTTCACAGATGAGTAGTCTATCAGTAGTGTGTGTGTGTGGGGGGGGGGGGGCAAAGGGCTGACATGTGTACATATTTATTGAATAAAACGAGTCGGAAAATGGGTGCCAAGTATAGCAGCCCATGTGCATCAGCCCATGTGCATCAGCCCACGTGCAGCAGCCCATGTACATCAGCCCACGTGCATCAGCCCACGTGCATCAGCCCACGTGCATCAGCCCACGTGCATCAGCCCACGTGCATCAGCCCACGTGCAGCAGCTAAGATGAAGCAGACCGAGCGCATCAGATCGTACACAGCAACCCACACCCAGCAGCTCGCGCACAGCAGCCTACACAGCAGCTGGGACGTACATCGAGCTGTTGTGAGTTCTGTCCATGGTGTAGGACATGACGATATTTTCCCAGGCACGGTGCAGGTCCCTGTTGCTAGGAGTGGCGCAGCCCATCTGGGCCCAGCACTCCTGGAAGATGCCGCTCCACTTGTCCCGCGCCGGCACTGCGAGGGACAACACCCTGCCGTTGGGCGGCCTGGGGGACGAAGAGACGGTGGGCAAGCAGAGGTCATGCGCTCAGGAGGCATGCATGCGCTCACAAATACGCAAGCAAGCACTGCGGTCACACTCGCCGCGACATCATGTGTTGCTGAGCTTGTTAAAAGTCACACTCCCTGTCAAAATTAGACTTGAGGCTTCAATCAGCTCTCGATTTATAGTTCTTTGTCAATCTACTGTTGGATGAAGGTCTTCCTACATCTTGTTGGTTCTAGGGAGCATCCAACCTATTTCTAAAATTAAGGTCCTTTCTTTCTTGCAAAAAAATGCAATGGCTAAATGTATGTCTAAAATATATCTAGAATTTTGACTCTTGAGTAGGTGGTTTAGAAAAAAGATGCGTGCATTCTGGTAATGTTGTAACACATGACGGATGGTTAAGATCACACCTTTCGCAGCCTAGAAATCACGCGTTTGCAAATATTTAATATTATTAAGGTGTGGTTGCATTAATAATATAGGTTAGCGCCTCTCGGCGCTAACCTATGACAAATAAATATTGAAAGGGTGCACACTGTGAAGACTGCCAAAATATTAATGCACCAATCCTTTAAATTTCGATTTAAAGCTTTCGTGACTGCAGGGATTCATCTTCTTGGTTCTTTCGGTAAAGTCACGTAGAAGGGAAGTAATAAAATAATAAAAATAAAACATAATACAATAATTCTCACGACGTTTCGGCCACAACGCAAGCAGCCGTCCTCAGGTGGAGAACAGGTCCGTCAAGTAGACAGAGTCTGAATGGCACGCTCCAGGCTTGGAGCGACTATTTATGCTGGGATGGAGGAGCGAAGAGCGTCTTGACAAAATAATTTGCATATCAAGATTAATTTAAATATGCTAAAACATGCTAAATTCCTCTTGATATGCAAATTATTTTGTCAAGACGCTCTTCGCTCCTCCATCCCAGCATAAATAGTCGCTCCAAGCCTGGAGCGTGCCATTCAGACTCTGTCTACTTGACGGACCTGCTCTCCACCTGAGGACGGCTGCTTGCGTTGTGGCCGAAACGTCGTGAGAATTATTGTATTATGTTTTATTTTTATTATTTTATTACTTCCCTTCTACGTGACTTTACCGAAAGAACCAAGAAGATGCACCAATCCTTCTCGCAAAGGCCGAGGGAGAGAGAGAGAGACCTCATCGCGCCAGCAGGAGGCAGCAGTGCCAAGGGGGGGGTCACTCACTGTGGCACGCCGTAGTCCACTGAGTCGGACGGAGGCGCCGTCTGGAAGGTGCCGCTGATCTTGATGCCGCTGCCCCACTCACCGGTGAAAACGCCCTCGATGTAGTCCCCGTTGGGCATGGTGAGCACGCCCTGCAGGTCGAATGGTGGACGTCACGCCGCGGATCAGCAACGGCGAGACTCGAGAAACGACGACCAAAAGCGTTGGAGCGGTTACAGCCAAACGCGTCGCGCCAATCGTGCGCTCCCGATTGCTTATTTGGACGCTTTGACCATGGCAGGCGGTGTTATCAAGGCAGCAATTTATGGAAATGTATTGCTCAAGCAAACATTTGGCTGGAAGCAAAAATCAAGGTGTGTGTTAATGAGCAGCGCAACCATTGTTCGGGAATAATGTACCCTTGGAGAAAGCATGCACCCAGCGAGAGATTTTCCTAAACAAATCATCGGCACAGTATCTGGAAACTGAAGCTGAAGCCAGAGTCACCATTGGGTCCAGTAGGAGGCTTCTGTCAGCGAGTCATTGTTTGAGGTCAACCGAGATTGGCAGCGAAATAGGAGCCTCGGGCTTGGCCTCAGTTTCCATTTACTCACGTGCAGCTCATTGCCTTTCTTATTCACATATCACCCCTTACCTTCCCATTGAGAATGCGCTCATCAGAGAACTCCCCTTCAAAGAAGGTGTCGTCATCTGTCATTAATATGCCCGATCCCTGCGCGCACAATACGAGGTCGTAAACAACTAAGTACATATATTATTCGGCAATGCTGATTACATAAGAAAATAATTACTATTACTAACGTAATTGTGCTCACAGGAATCTGGCATACTTTTAAAATAAGTTGCAATAACAATTTCATGACCATCTCGGATTTTTTCTACTTGAAACATTCATTGCAAAATGTACATTCCCGTCACAACGTTTGAATCAAAACAAAACCTCCACCTTTCAGGTGGTGGGGCAAGTGTGTTACCAGCGTGATGTTTGAACCCCGCGTGCATCGGTTTAACGCCTTGGCACAGGGGTCTGGTTTCACAATGAGACACTCTAATAAGCCCCCCCCCCCCCTCCTGTGCCTCCCACCCCCCTGTGCCCCCCCAGACCCCCCCCCCCCAACCCCGAAGCGTACCACCATCTTGTTGCGGATGAAGGTGCCCTGGTAGACGATGCCATGCTGCGTGATACAGAGCCCATTCCCGTGCCGCGTGTCGTCCTCCCACGTGCCCATGTACTTCTCGCCCCTGCACGTGCCAGCCACACGGGCAAAGTCGCATTCGCTCGTCTCTGTCGCCCCCTAGTGCACACTCGTGTGCTCAAACACAGGTCAAGTTGATTTTGTATAACCAGTTGGGTTTGCTACAGTGGCATGGGGCATGGGACAGACCCAGGTGTTATGGGTTAACGGAGATGCAAAACCAGTGTTTTAGTCACACATACAAACACAAAAATCCCCCGAATAACCATAAAAAAATGTTTGTGCATGAGGAGGTGGTGTGGCCAGGACCACACCCAGGCACTTGTGTCTCCCCATTGTTGATGTTTACACACGTCACCAGGTACTCATTTCAATGCAAGCAGACTTAAGGATGGCCGAGGACCAGATCAAATAATCACAACTGATGTTAGCCGTTTGCAGGAATCGAACTCGGGTCGCTGGTTGGCAGCGCAGCGCGTCGACCACAACATTGCCGCTCCCCTACACGGATATGCCCAAGGCATGTGCGTGCGCCGTTGGTTCGTGATGGACAGACCTGCTCACATTCTCGTAGACGCCGTAGCCGGCCCTCTTGCCGGAGGCCCAATGCCCCACGTAGACACCGCCGGCGTGTTCCCCCTTGCTGCTCAGCAGCATTCCGTGGCCGTGTCGTACACCGTCCATGAGGTAGCCCTCGTACACCTCCCCATCCGTGTGTCTGCATGCCCACACATACACACATACTGTATATCCAATGACACCCCCCACCCCTCCCGCCCCGTTGGGGAAAATGCTGTTAGAGAGCACCTATGAAAGCCACCATGGTGTACAGAGGAGTGGTGTCGCTAGCATGACAAACCACTGCCTTTGACTTCCTTATGCTGATGTATACTTATTTTAACGCTGAACAGACCTAAAGGCGGCCGAGGATTGGTTCTGCTGTCACTCGCCATTGATGTTAGCTATGGCCGGGAATTGAACTCCGGTTTCTCATGTACATTTAGCCTAATAGAACGACCAAGACAATGCAAACGGGACAGTAAAAACAATATAAATAAGACAAAAATAATATATCTTGACTTAAAGCTTTCGTGACTGCAGGAATTCATATTCTTTAGGTCTTTCGGTAAAGCCATGTAAAAATAATAAAAATAATAACAATGTCACCTGATGACGATTGCTTGTGTTGCGATCGAAACTACGTGGCTTTACTGAAAGACCTAAAGAATATAACATATCTTGAATTTAGTAGTAACCCCGAATCAGATAATACATCGAACAACCAGGTGGGTAAATATGTAATACTAGCTTTTTTGCCCGTCCAAGGACAGGTGTATATTGCAGTAAATCAGAAACATTCAATAGAAAAATTGTTCAGCTCCTAATTATTAATGAGGGGGGGGGGGGGAAGGTTGCACCATGTGGAGTGACGTCACCCGCTAATTGTTATTAGGGAGGGGTGCGGCATGTGGAGTGACGTCACCCCCTCATGGTGTAAATTTTTACGCGGGCATGAATATTAATGAAGGGGGGGGCCTCTTTTGCAGTTACGTCACACACGGATGTAGCACTGTGCTGCGTAGATTTATTTTTTACCGTCACTTTCTGTAAATAAACGTCATATTTGAAGCGACTTTGCGTAATAAATAATTTAATTCAGCTCGACCTTCCTCTGCGTTTGTGTAAAAATCCACCCACTCATGAATATTAATGAGGGGAGGTGGGCTTCATGTGGAGTGACGTAACGCGGGGGGGGGGGAGGCCTCATGTGGAGTGACGTAACGCGGGGGGGGGGGCCTCATGTGGAGTGACGTCACGCACGGGACGGACAGACATTTCTGGGTGATTATAGTAGGTAATGCCTCGTGCCTGACCCACCACAAATCTTGACATTTCATTTTTTAATAAGTCACAATAGCAACATTCATTCAAATGGTTAATTCAGTCGAGAATGACGGAACTTCATGAACTGAGTAACATTGTTTACATGCAAAACTACTGAGATCTGTTCATATTGACACGTGCGGTATACGCTGGACGACAAGACCCCCGTACTTGTAAAGGCCGTATCCGTTAATCTTGCCTTCTCTCCAATCCCCGCAGTACTTCTCCTTTTTCCCCGTGCTTGCGTTGACCACCGTGTACTTCCCGTACCTGCACACAGAAGCAGCAGCTCACTCGCACCCTCGCTCGCACTGGCTTTTGCAGAACTGCAACATGTGGGCGAAATTAACGACTGCCCTAACTCTAAAAGATTTACTTACACATGAACAGCCCTTTTGGTAATCCACTGCTGGATGAGGACGGTTTCCGCATGTCCATCGAGGAGGCTATCCGACCATACTTCACCACACTGGTACAGTGCGGGTTGGTAGATTTGGGGGGCATAAACATGGCAGAATTGCAGTTGCAATTGACTCTGCTGCACTGCCCTCTGCTGCCCACAATGTAGATCAACAAGCCCCGAGTTATGACGATGTATGCATGTTGAACTTCTTTCACACCATACATAACCAACTGTGCTCAATCGGAAGTACAGGGGAAGGTCACAAGTTCGCCCATCAAACCATTACCCAGGCTCAAATCTGCTTAGCTTCCAACATCTGAAAGACTGCACATTCTAAGTGATTTGGTCATAAGCCTCGGAACTACATTGCACTGAGAATGCAGCAAGACTCAAATGTTAATCATTAGCAGCGCCGGCAACGACAGGACTCACCCATGCTCAGATCCAAACTTGAAATTTCCTATATACGTCCTCCCATCAGGCCATGTCATCCTTCCCCTAAAGGGAAGAACACAACTGTTAGTACATTCCTGGAAGTGCTGCGCTAAAACTATAACACAACGTTGGACATAAAGTTGTAACTGAAAATCAACGAATATCTCTGATGTGTCAGACGTTAGTACTCTTATTGTCATGGGCAGTTCAACATGAGATTAAAGCTTTTGTTAACAAAAACAAAACTTTAAAATTGCAAAGAAATGTAGGCGGCCAGAAGGATCAGAGGTAAGCAATATTGAGCCAGCACCTCTGAGATCCTGGCTTCCAATCCAGGAGCCATCCCCTAATAAAACCAGGCTCTCAATTGTAGCCAGTTACAACTATAAACTAAACTATATTTTTTTATTTTACAAGGTAAGACCCACTCAGCTATATAGGTCTCTTTCAGAAGCGACCTGGCCACAAATGATAGCTCAACAAAGTGGCTTATCACGTGGAAATTTTACAGAAGTCAAATGCTCTAAACGCAAATGTTGATGTGCTCAGCCCCGTCAATCGATGACTGCATCAACATTTTTTTCTAAAATTTGGTTTTGCACTTAAATTTGGCTAAATTTCAGCCCTGAGCATTAAAACTATCGGTTTGACTGTTGTGTGACAGAGTTAAAGCAGAGTGTGTTGGAATGTGTGACTTCCTCTATGTAAAGGATAAAGACCACAAGTATTGTGGTGAATGCAGACGTGATTCCTTGTAAAAGGTTTCAGTTTGGTGTTTAAATATCTTAACACCTGTTTTGTTATTCTTGGTTCTTTCGGTAAAGTCACGTAGATAGAAAAAAAAATCTAAATTAAAAGCAAAAAACCCACGACGTTTCGATTGCAACACAAGAGGTCTTCTGCCAGAAAAAAAGGGGAAAACCTATTCTCAATTTCAGACAAAGCAATGAAAGCAGATCTGCCTTACCAGCCGTGGGGTTTCCCATCGCACCACTGGCCGTAGTAGTGTGCACCGCGGAGTTGGGGGAGCTTGCGGAACGTGTATCCACAATCCGTGCGTAGGGAGAGGCTCCCATGACCCCTGTGACCTGGGCTGTCCTGTGGCGATGAGCCCGAGGCTGTGCTCGAGTGCCCAAGGCTGAGCAGGCTGCCTCTCCGTGAGTTCGCTGGGCTCGGCTGACCCACACTGCCCAGGCTTTCATTCCTGGAGAGAGCCGGGCTGCCTTGGCCCGCACAGAGCAGGCTGCCCTTCCGGGAGGCCAGGCTGAGCAGGCTGGTGGCCCCTCCGATGCTGGGTTGCCCAATCGACTCACGGATGACCCTTTCGAAGGTATCTCTCCAAGTGTCCTGTGCGTCCATCACCCATCCACAACGTCCGTGATAACATCCAGGCCTATGTACTTTTTACAGCCCTTTATCAAATAACTACTGGATGAAGGCCTCTGCATGCCAAGTCAGACCCAGGGGGTTGTTTGACCATACTTCAGCAGGCTAGTCAGTGCAGGTTAGTGAATGGGGGCAGGGGCAATAATGATTCAATTTTCACTCGTCGCCACCTATTAGCCGTGGCCAGGAATCGAACTTAGGTTGCCTGTCTCATAGTCCAGTGCAAAACCACTGTGCCACCACCACTCCCCATCTATGTCATTTCCCTATTTAATGTTAAATTTATCACAGCAAATGCTTTGAGGTTTGTAAAGTTTGATAAGCTACTGCACTCATGGAAGGACAAGACGTTTGGAAACTGCTACTAGAATAAGCTATAGATTGCTGCCACGTAACAAAAACAAATTAATTTACAGTCCTTTCTTAAGCCACTGTTGGCTGAAAGACTCCCCACACAATCGGGTCATGGAGGCTGCATCACCATATTTCATCACGTTGGTCACCGTGGGTTGATGAAATAAGAGTCCTCAGGACTGATTCGGTTCGCACTCATCACTGGTATTAGCCATGGCCTGGCATCAAACTCAGGTGACCTGGTGCAGAGTGCAGTGTGCACTGCTCCTACCATACCACTGCCCCATTACCACCACTGCCGATCCATCAATTAATTCATATTATATAAGAATCCCTTGAGACAAAATATATCTTTGTCGTAGGACAATGCTCTTGTAAATGGCACATGGCACACTGCATAACGATAAATAAATTACGAGCCATGCTGGAATGTACCCTGTTCAAAGCTGTTGAAGATGCCAGATGCAGCTCTTCTTCAGGAGTGTAGACCCTTAGGCCATACCTGAAAAAAACACAAAGAGCCACAGGCAATGCACGAGGGTGATAGCAGGGAATCTGTCATTAAAATGCTAAGATGCCATTTAGTTATTCACGCTATTCATGAGCTTTATTGCCTGGGACAAGCATGGCTTAACCCTTTAATCTCAAGAAAACCATAAGCATTCTAAGTTCATCCGAGTGCATGCCTGCATGTGGAAAACGCATCCGATTGAACGGTCATTGTGAGACGCAAGCTCTCCAATGTATTTATGGGCATACTGTCCCCGATGTTTCACTTCAAGTACCAAGAGCTTCTTCATATTCAGTTCCTGAAGAAGCTCCCAACACATGGTGCGAAAGGTTGAACATCATGCCGAACAACACGCGGTACAGCGAACACCGATGAGCTGTACTACAGCACCAGCGCGAAAACCGGGACACTGAATGAACGTACACATTTTGGTTGTTGTCGTTGAGCGTTTCCACCCATATGGTCGAAACACAGTAGACGGTTTGTGTGGCGCCCTGCACACGGCACATCAAATGGCATGTGAGAGATGGAACAGACGCGGAATTCACAGTCTCAAATCAGTCATAGGCTGGCCTGTGTTAGTCTAACGAGAAACACCTGTGGGAAACTGCAAACGCATGCTTGTGCAACGTCCCACAGAGAATAATGCCTGACTGTTGGGTATTAAACCGATCACTTTGTCTTCACCCTGAGCAATGTGAGCATTGCGCAATAAAAATATATTTATATTATGATCACGTATCATGTTCCGCTTCAGTGAACCTATACATAAAATATGAAGTTGATTAAAGCAGGGATTTTTTTTTTTTACCAATACTGAGTGGAAACAAATATCTTGACAATTTAACCAAGTGGTCTTCTTAAGGATGTATATATTAATGAATGACCTCTTCTCTATAATTGCTAGTACTGTACAGGCAAAGTAACTTGATAAAGTGCTATGGTGCGGCACTGTGCTTGTTCAAATCCACCAAATACAATCAAACACACTTCCATCGCTAGGCATTCATGCGCAGGCAAAAGCAGCGACACTGTCGGGCCTTGGTCAGTGCTGCACACAGCAGACAACTCTCCATCCCACCTTTGTGTGCAGGAAGATGTCGTTAAAGAGGATGTAGCGATGTGTGGCGAATCGAGAGGTCTTGACAGGCGATAGCGGAAGCGAGATGCTGTCCTTGATGACCCGACGAGTGGGCACGCACAGGTTCTCCTGGAAAAAGTTGATGTTGCGTTAATGCAGCCACCTTCTTAAACAACCCCGCAGTGTTCAAATTACTGGTCGTTAAGGACAAGTGCAGGGAACATTATTTATTTGACATATGCATTGAACGATCATTTGAAAACAGCAGACTGCATTTATCAATATTTAGGATTATGATTTGCATTCATAGGGTGCTTAAATGCATTGCAACTCATCTCATCTCAACCATTTCAATTCCCTGCTGCAAGTCTAGCCAGGGGGATCATCCCCGATGGAAATTGTCCCTGTGTGGCACAAAGTCAGAACACACATTTTCCATACCAGGCTCTTGCTGGTCTTATGAAGCCAGAACTCCCTGGTGCTGTACGCTTGTTCGATAAGGTTCTTGACATCATTGTAGAAGGTGTCCCACTTCAGGCTCACGGCCTTTGCCCACTCATACTGCGGTGACTCCTGCACAAACACGGCCCCGTCCGATCACCCACGTCACTCTCGCCATCCAAAACCAAGCTGATCCACGCATTCCGTAAGAGCGAGCGTGAGCAGGGAGCGTGTGAGTCAAGACGACGAACCATGGGGAAGCACGTAAGCAGGCAGGTGGCGAACATGGAGTAGTTCTGCATGTGGGTGGCTGGGGCCATGAGTATGCAGTAAAGTGTCTCCACCACGCCCTGGCTGCTGCCGAGGGTCTCCATGAGCTGCGCCAGCTCCCAAACTTTCTTCTCTTGTTGCCGATAGTAGCTGCTGTTGAGACGACAAGCAACAAAAGGTAAAATTCCTTCTGTACAGACTTAAGACTGTTGGAGCAAGTTCTGTTTGCGAGCACCTAAGAAGGCCGCCATGGCGCATAGCACCTGTAAGTATAACAATGAAAGGTTATAGGATAACTGTCCCAATCAACAGAATAGTGAAGTGAACATTGCATACCTGTTGCTGTTGATGCTTTCTAAACCCCTAATGACCAACAGGTTAGTCAACGCTGAAAAATACCTGCAGAAAATAAAGGTGATTAGGTTTCATTGCATAACACATGAGTATTTTCAGTCACATTATTATACAACTTCACACTGCTACGGACTTGTAAATTCCTGTGAATGTGATTAGCATAATACATGACACACAATGCTGTATTCAAAATAAAGCAACACGTTGAGTCTGTGCTTGATGTTGATATCCTTCTCAGAAGAATAATCTTGTCAGACTGGATTTATATTTAGATGTTATTTGGTGCGGCTGTGTTGGCAGTGATGCACTCGCGCACGAGCACCACTGCCAATAACACTGTGGTCTTAAAAGTTAAAATTAATAGGCACGATTCTGGCAATGGTTCTTCTTCATAGAAACGTCAATGACATATGCATGTTATATGTATGTACATACGTAATTCATTTTATCACTTCAGCTAACAAATCTCCTTATATACCTGCTTAAATGAGGGTGGGTTTTCACCCAATTCCACTAATGGCCCTGGGTCAGTGGTGAAAATTCCACATTCCTATGACAGGCACTAGTCTCTTCAAGGAAATATAATTGCCCAAATGAGTACTTCTCACAATCCAGCACTCCTTTGATCAACTGCATGAGATTAACACGAGTCCCCGTCGATCGTCAACGACACATGACGGTGGCATGGCCGAGTGGTAGTGCGTTTGCCGCTAGTTGCAGAAGTTCATAGTTTGAGCCCAGCAACTGCCTTGGTAAGTAGTGTGGGTAATTATAGATTTGAAGCTTTCGTGACAGCAAGGATTCATATTCTTAGGTTTTTTCGGTAAAGTCACGTAGGTAAAACATCAAAATTAATGAAAATAAAATAAAATAAAAATCACGACGTTTCGGAGGCAACACAAGTCTCCGTCATCAGGTGGGACTGTCACAGCCGGATTAGCTGCATCAAGTGAGGCAGGGATTCAAGATGTAATCCCTTAAAAGCGAGTTGAGGGGGGAGGAGAGGGGGGGGGGAGCTCATCAGAATGTGGTAGCCAATGAATGGAACGTATCGGGAGGGAGGGGGGCGGGGCTCATTAATTTTGATGTTTTACCTACGTGACTTTACCGAAAAAACCTAAGAATAGTATGGGTAACATAAATCAAAGAGAATGCAGTCCTTGACAGTGGACATGAAAGTTCTGGTCAGGTTATATGGCAATGTGTGTGTGGTTAAAATCTTCCAAGTAAAAATATTTATATCCATATCCTGAAATTACTTAATAAAAAAAAAACAATTGCAACATCGGCTCGTACCGTCACACTAATGGCCACTGGCCGACCAGTGGTAGGTTCAGCTTATGCTGCACAGGGACAGCCACCACCGGTGATCACCTTGACTACAACAGGACGTTTGAACGAATGAGAGAAGATGCGACGCAAGGTGCTTTTGGGTTTCCGGGGCATTTAAGTGCCCCGGTGTGCAATGCAAACCCTAAAGCTACCCTCATCTTACTCTGAATAGGCGTCCTGAATGGCAGTCTGCTCCGTCACCACATGCACGCTCCGGATGTGCACGTGACCCGCAAAGGGGTCCTCCGTGGCCGAGGTCGATCGGCCTAATGGCGACGACGTCATGGGCTGCGGAGAGCTGGACGACACCTCCGAGGTGCCGGGCCGGGCGGAGGCCTTGAGGCTGGAGGCCATGGCGGAGAGCGCGTTCTCCAGCATGGACACGAGCGAGCTGAATCGGCTGAGCAGCAGCTGGACGGACGTGGCCACGGCAGGTGGCAGCGTGCGGTCTAGCCCACCTGCGGGCAAGGACACGAGCACGAGCACACCAGAAATGCGACCGCTTTTCGTGACGGTTGATCGTAGTTCCGAATTTCACATTATCTTCATGAACAAAAATAACCACCGAATGAAATGTCCCTTTACCACATACAGGTACATGTATGTGTTTCAAAACAGTGACAATATTTACATTGTGCAGAGTATGGAGATTCGAACACCTGAAGATTTGTTTATTCAGCTGTAAAGCCATTTATACATATTACTGATGGTCAGGATGACTTAACACGTAGAGTTTCGCGACCAATATCATCCATAATATTTTTTTTGGGTTAGATCGCGTAAATATAAATGTGTCGTTAAACCCGCCACCACCTGACACAGCCAATTAGTAAGGTTTGTCATGTAAACAGAGCATGCCAATTCGTTACTGGTACAGCAACACCGGTGTGTTGGAGAGCAAATCTACAACATCTACAATCTTAGTACTTTTTGGATAGTAAATATTGTGGATTTGCTCTCCAAAAGAAAACTGTCTCTGGTGTGGACCAATCAGTTTCAAGGACAATGCATATATTATCAGAGTATGTTTTTTGTTTGCATTCTGACCACAAGCATTGTGGTTAATGCAGACGTGATTCCTTGTAAAAGGTTTCAGTTTGGTGTTTTAACATCTTAACACAACTGTTTTGTTGCCAGAAGAAAGGGGAAAAACCTATTATCATATTTTGGTACTGGCAAAGGAGGTCCCATGATGTAGAGAACTACAAAACCCATTACCAATATAAACATTTCAAGAGTTAACAAACAGTGTAACAATTTTAAACGTAACTTTTATTCCAATAGGGAACATTTTGCTGTGATATCCTCAAGGCCCTTTCGTATTTATCGTGAGAAGAAAGGCCGGTGGCCAGGTACCACTTTGGGTTGGCAGGGGACAACTGCATGTGACAGAGCATTAGCAAAGCACAAAGTCCAGCATGGACAGCACACAAATTCATTATTTTAAACACAGTTGCTGAGCATAGGTCCAGAGGCGCAGCATGTCAAGTGGCCAGCAACAAACAGCACCATCGAAAGTTGCAATAGATAGCGGTTAACACGTATTTGTTGTAATGATGGTCCCACGGACAACATTCACCTTCTTGCAGCAGAGGATGGAAGACGACATCCTTCATGCGGCCGAGAACTTGCACGTAGTCCCTCTCGCTCTTGAAGAATTCATGCAGCAGCTGCGAGTACGGCGGAGGTGCAGTCTGCAGGGCGAGCACCAGGCTCTGCTCACCGCCCGCCTGCACCTGGGTCACCTGCAGCTTCTGTGATTGAGTCACATCAGTGGCATTCCGTGTCAAGAGGATGACTGCACTCGGCTCAATGGGCTCTTCCCTCCCACGACAATAGCACTGTAAAACTTACAAGCCACGGTGATGTTCAGTTGATGCAGTGAGATGAGCCAATGCAGCCTGAAAATTACATCCTGTCCTTGGTTAAAACAGTTGCAGGATTTACATATGGCAATAAAATCATGCAATAAGCTGGATTATATAACTGTTCCCCACATATGCAGCTGCTTTGGGAAATAATGAAATTGTAGAATGGAAACCGACAGGTAGAATTCTTCAAGAGCGAGGTAGACCTTGTTTGTGTCTTCAAGTTTGTTCAGGTTGGCTGCTTTTCAATAAAGTCACGAATAGCAACAACTTTCGAATACAGATTTGGGCAGAATGCGATTATCTTTACAAGAATTGTAGGAGGACACACCCCTCCCACCCGAGCGTTATGCACAGACGGAGCTAACGCATGAATTATTTCAACCTCAGTTGCAAAGTATTAAAAATGAGGTCATGTTAAGTATCGTATTTCTACATCTACCCCTCTTGCTGCTGCTGCTGTTGCTGCTGTTGCTGCTGTTGCCGCCACCGCCACCACCTACCTGATTAGGCAGGGGCAAATGGACGATTGGAGGACCCTGCATTTCGTCCGCCCCGGAGCCGTGCCCCGCCAGGCGGCTACAGTAGTACACACGGCTGTCGTAGGAATCCTCGCGGTTGATCGCAAACAGCGAGTGCTCCTCCGCCGCTGCCACGTCCAGCACCTCGCCGGCCGGCAGAGTCTGTCGCGCACACGGGGGAGCGACGTAGAGGAGCACAACGGGAAACGTGTTGTCGTGTTGTTATAAATACATTGATTACGCATTGATGCAATCCAATATGGGAAAATAGCAACGAACCCTGCAATCTGAATTTTATTTTCAACTATTGGCCGACATCGGCGGTGAGTGATATCCAAACCAGCTTCTGAGCACCACCGCCTGACCAACCCACGCTGTCCGGCCTTGCAAAGTAAGGTTGAATAACCCCCCTGTCTGAGACGGTGTGGAGAGGCCCTCCTCGTTCACAAGTGGATTGACAAACACCTGTGTTTGTCTTCTTGTTTCTTTCGGTAAAGTCACGTAGAAGGGAAGTAATAAAATAATAAAAATAAAACATAATAAAACAATTCTCACGACGTTTCGGCTACAACGCAAGCAGCCGTCTTCAGGTGAAGAATGAGACACTACCAAACTAGGAGCTTATATATAAGCTGCATTGGGGGTTGAAGAGCGCCTTAACAAAAAGAATGTGCATGTTAAGGCGCTCTTCAACCCCCAATGCAGCTTATATATAAGCTCCTAGTTTGGTAGTGTCTCATTCTTCACCTGAAGACGGCTGCTTGCGTTGTAGCCGAAACGTCGTGAGAATTGTTTTATTATGTTTTATTTTTATTATTTTATTACTTCCCTTCTACGTGACTTTACCGAAAGAAACAAGAAGATGAATCCCTGCAGTCACGAAAGCTTTAAATCGAAATTTAACCTGTGTTTGTGTCTGCGAAGTTTAGTTGTTTTATTTGTGCCACGGGTACCTCCAGTAGGTGCGGCGTCAGACAGCGCAGCTTGTCGTGCCCCAGCTGTCCACTGCGGTTCCTGCCCCAGCTGTACACCTGCATCCAACATCACACCGCCCATAGGGCACAATTTACAAGTACACTAATGCCCAGTGCCGAAAGTGTTCAAATATCTAAGGACAAATTAAATGTGTATATCTTCTATTAGTATAATGAATTAAATTTGTCAAAATATGTTTCATGGAGATAAAGAGTTTCAATAAAGATTGAGGTCAAAGCTGAAATGTAAAAAAAAAATTCCTCTCTACAATTCACATTTCACACAAGCTTTTGATTTGCAGCTATGTAACAAAATGTTCACCAACTTGTAAAATAATAAAACGTTTATTCGATAATCAAGTTCACAAAGTTCAAAAGCAACAATCAGAGTAAATGAGATGTTACCTTTGAGGTGCTGGTAAGTGCGAGGGAGTGGAAGTCTCCTGCCGCCAATTTGATGATCTCTTCACCAACCAAACTCTGAATACACTGAGGCATCAGCCTTCACAATGACAGTTTCAATACAAACACATACACACCCCGTACAGTGCATCGTCATTCACGGTGTGATGATAGCTACCGTGTAAAACATTCGCCGGTTTCTGAACAGCTACGACACATCCAAAAACACAGGCCGTAAACCGATACTTCACAAATAACTGTCCCATACCTACAGTCTATAAACAGTACATGAACCGCTAATCCTTGCCTGGTTTACTCTTGTTCATTAACTTTGGATCTGTTTTTATAGGGCAGAGTTGTGCCGTTTTCTGTGTGACCCAACTCCCTACACAGCACTTGCGCCTGTGGTGTCTGTTTATTTTTATTTGAGCTCCTGCGAGGGGTGTCCTCTGCGCTTGTTCTGAACACGCCAGGCACATGGGGGGACATGCCTCAACTACTTTACCGTGAAGCCTGCATAGATCAGTCGGTGCACCGTATAATCAGCTCAATAATCTTCCCTGGGAAACGCACGACAAATATGGTGCGCGCATATAGAATGTCTGCCAATCTGGCTTTATTCCACATGGAAGGTGCACCCGGTCTGGCTTTACAGTGCGCTGGTGTATGCTATAAACGGCACCCGCCATGCTCTCTCAATAAACAAAATGCCAGAGTTACACGTGCGCACACACACCATGCTTCTCTCGGGAACAAGAAAAGCATGTTCATGTGTGCAGGATAACCACGTTCACAACTATGGTGACATTTTTACGAGCACCACAGTTTGTGCACGTGTAATTACGCAAGTCAACAACTCTGAAGCCTTTTGTACAGGATTATCCATTCATCCCCGACTACAATAACTTGGACATAGATTGAAAATGAAGCATTGTATTTAAAAGCCTCTATACATCTCCCACCAATCGCAACACATGTATTCAATCATGGAGCTATGGCTTTCACGACATTCAATCAGCTATAAATGGATCGGCCTGTATTTCAAGTGTAAACAGCTCGAAGCAGCAGCAACCATTATTTTCAAACACCACAAATGCTATCGTCTGCCAGCACAACAGGTGCGCCCCCCCCCCGTCAGTCCACGACGAGTGCGTGTCTCACGCCCCCGAGCCGCATCCCACCTGGAGAGGGTGTCTCCGAGTCCCAGCTGCCCGTCCTGGCCGTCCCCCCAGCTCCACACCTCGAGGCGCTGCCGGCGGGGCTGGGTGCTCGTCGTCTGCCACCCTCCCTCCCAGTTCACAGTAGTGCTCGTGGCGCTAGGCGGGCTCTCACCGGCGCTCGCCGCACCACCGCCCGCCGCGAAGCCTGGCAACAGCGTTGGCAAATCGTGTAAACCGTACAAACCGCTTCACACAATGCGCCGCGTCGTTCGTTTTACGAGTTACACAAATGTGGTCAGGCAGTGAACGAAACAGTTATCATTCAGTTAATGAAAGCAATCGGTCTAACATTTCCCTAACATTTAAAAGTTTCTGGATAAAATAAAGTCTAAATTAAATTGGTGTTTTTAAACTGAATGCTTGCCAATGCTTTCCAACTAGGTTGAAATGTTTCCGAAATAGTTATATCCAAATAACAAATACGTATTATAAAGTGCTGTTTCTTTTAGGAACTCAGCCGAAATTAAAAAAATGCCAAATTAATCAAACCATTTCCCAAAGATGGACAAAAAAAACAAGCACCAAAAGGACCTGCTTCGGAATTCTAGGCCTGCTGCCAGCCGAGGTGCACACGCCCTCCCCGTCAAAGCAGCTGCGCCCCATCGTCTCATTGTGGTCTACAGACCATAGCACTATTAAAGATGATCCAATATGGAAACGCAACCTTGTGCAGCTTAAATATACAGTACGCTCCAAGCCTGGTGGTGTTTCATTCAGACGCTGTCTTCCCGACAGACCTGTTCTTCACCTGAAGACGGCTGCTTGCGTTGTGACTGAAACGTCGTGAGAATTATTTTATTATGTTTTATTTTTATTATTTTATTATTAACCTTCTACGTGACTTTACCGAAAGAACCAAGAAGATTTACCTTGTGCTATTAGGGACTTGCCCACAAAAAGCGCCAAGTATATCATCAGGTCGCCTTGCTCCCTACCCGGCAGAGCCACTACCTGAATCGCACTGTCTCATCGCAGATACACTGCTTTTTGTGCACTTGGCACGAGCACTAGCAGTATTATCGCTAATTAAATACATCAGAGGACAAACACGTGTGGGATATCATTACTGAAGCCATGCACATTTGAAACTAATTGTGTTACAATAATATGACTGTTGACGATCCACCGACGTTATAAAACTTACCATGATCAAGCTCTGGTTTAAATTCTTTGGTGTTGCGATTGTGCCCGAGCTGGTTCGTGTCGATGCTCGCAGAATTTCTGCACTCCTCTGCTTGTGCACCTGTCCTCGAGGCCGCTGCGCATTCTGCCGGAATTGCTGGCCTAACCGCGGGGTTATCGGGGGTGACCTGCAGCACATTCATTCCCCTACCCTTCAAGCTCTGACTCCGTGGCACCTCTGGCTGCCTTCCCATTGTCTCCTTCCTCCTGGTGCTCCTGTGGCGAAAGCGCCTGATGTGCTCGTACACAGGAGACATCTGCTTCTCGGAGACGCTGTCACTCGAGAGAAAGTGCTCAGTGGATGAGTCCAGTGCTTCGGAATCGAACGCAAACACAGAGTTCGCCGGTGCTACAGCCGGACTCACTTTCTTCTTCTGTGAAAGATGCCGGACGCACCTCATCACCGCGACTTTGCCAACTTCTGAGACCTCTTGGTCAGCTTCATCAACATCGGCCACGTTGACTTTTTTCGGGTTCACATTATGAAGAGGCTCATGGATATTTTTCTCAATGTTCAAATCATCGTCATCAGATAACCAGATATTAGTGTCAATTTTCAAATCATTCATTTTGAAACTATCCTCGAAAGAACTTGACAGGTCATCGCTCACAAATGTCTTAAGGCGCATTCCTCTATCGCTACGATTTGAATTTTTACGATCCTCTTTGGCCCTGTCTTCAATGCGAATGGAAATCCCTTCCAGCGCATCCTCAGTTAAACTCATCCACTCACCGCTTGCAGTAAAATTGTCACTACCAGCCGTCACGTTTCTTGACAGCACGGGTTGCGCCGCAGGCGGCTGAGCAAGCCCTGGTGCATGGTTCTCATGGAGCACCTCCACGAGGGCCAGGTTGTGCAAGGCTCCACACACGAGCTGCCTCACCTTCACCCCCACAAAGTGCTCAATTCTCCGCGGCTGGTACTGAATGCGGCTTGCGGAAGCGGCCGGCGGGTCGGCGGTGGCGGCGTGGCATAGCTGCGAGCTGTTCCCCCAGCCCCACATCTCGTCAGACGTCTGCGACCAGGCCAAGGTGTGCGTGTGCCCGCATGCCAGCAGGGAGACGTGCAGGCGTCCCCTGGAGCCGGCACAATTCCGGGGCGATGCGGACGGCTGCACGGCTGCCCCAGACGCGTCGGGGTCCCTGTTGGGCTCGAACGCCACGAGGGTAGGTCCCTGCACCTCCTCGGTGTCCCTCACCGCACACTGGCCGTGCAAATTGCTGCCCCACATGTACACGTCGCCCAAGCTGCCGACAGCCCCACTGTGACGGGCTCCGGCGGCAATGTACACCACCTCCACTCCCGCCAGTCCCATCTCCCGACGGGGCTCCTGCGCAAAGACATACGCTTGGTCCTGCCAGGGCTGCTGGCCAAAGCTGTACACGGCACCATCTGCAACGCAAAGGCATGGCCTGATTACGGTGAATGAGCAACTGTTATTTATTCCAGGTCATGCTCTTGGATTTTATTGCAGGATAATTGTATTGATCATTATCGTCATCTGTCTGCCGGGGTCTGTCATCTGTCTCGTCGATTGTGTTTTGGCCCAGATAAATCATAATCTGCTTAGCACACTGGAATGTAGCCCAGAAAGCGATAGGAAATGCAGAAATGTCTTATAAATTCTACGGGTGTCCATTGTCTCCATTTAAAAAAAAAATTCACCCAAGCTAAAACTGCCGAGTAAGAATATTGTAAACACACGCAACTAACATGCATCTGATTTGTTTCAGTTCATGCTCTTGGATAAATGGTAACACTGTATAGAACATGATGATCATCATCTGTGCCTATCGTGTTTTGGCTCAGAGAAACCATACGTCGCTCATACCACTGGAGTGTAACTCAGACACTGTAAAAAATACGCATAATTAGTCAAGTGTTGTAGGCTGTGGACAAAAGGGAGACATCAAGTTAATGTGTACATATTAATTTGTTACATCTTCTCGTGTTTTACATGTACAGCTCTTTGTCAATCCACTGTTGGATGAGGGCCACCCAATGCCGCATGGATCATGGGGGTTATTTGACTCCAGTTCAACATGCTGGTCAGTGCAGCTCATACCAGTTATATTACCGAGCCGCCAAATAATATCCACCAGCTGCAAATGTCCTGAAATGCGACTACTGCACAATGCATGTAGCTAAATATTTCACACTGACTAGACGAGTAAACTCCGTGTGCTCACATCACCCCGCCAGTTCTGTGTTCGTGTGTAGCGACTGAGATTGTCACTGTGTTTGTGCCGGGCTTACGAAGCCACGGCGGATAATGTGTTGATATGTGTAGCCCGCTTACGGAGTGTAGTACCAGCCCTAGCGGGGCATGGGTGAGCGCTGGTCAGCGCGGAGGCACCGCGAGCAGTGTGCGGTGCGGGCTCCCGGTGAGGGAGCGAGAGGGAGCGTCAGCCAGCCAGGGTAACATTGGGGCATGATACGCTGGTTGACCTGCTGACACGTGACCGGATGATATTGGAGGGGGGCCACTGGGCGGTCACGTGGTCTAAAAGAGCTCTCGGGAGCCTTCGAGAAAGAGCGAGAGATCTGGAAGGTGGGCGGGGCGGAGCCAGCCCCAGCCCAGGGGGATATAACGGGGCCCGTGATGAGCTCGAGGTTCTTCGTGTGCTGGTGTGAAGAAGATCCACGTCGGGGAGAAGAAGCCTCTAGCCACGCGGTCCGGGACCCAGCTTGTGGTCCGGGCCGGGATAGCAAAAACGTGTCTAGTTCTACGGTAGCGTGGTTAGATGGGCATTCAATACCCGAGTGTAGATTGTGTAACGTTATGTTGAAGTTGCTAAATAAAGTGTTTCTCCCAAGACAATGTCTGCAACTCAGTTGGACTCACTACACGTGCACATGTGCAGCTCATTATCGATTCACTGCTAGATGAAGGTCACCCAATGCTGCATGGGTCATGAGTTATGCATTTTTGAACCCGTCCATAACCGACCCACAACCAACTAAATGTTTGACACCACGCACTTATCACAAAAAAGCATCAATGCACAATGATGTCAACATTTTCTGCCTACCCAAGCAGAACACAGCCCTGATATATGGGGCTCAAACACGGTACGTGCCTCACACTGAGTAACTCACCGCGAGTGAGGAGCAGGGTATGCGACCAGCCCAGTGCAGCTTGCACCACCGGTTTGCCGGACAGAGATTTCAGCAGCCTCGGCACCATGAAGGGCCCTGGTCCCTCCCACACCACAGCCAATCCATGCTGCTCCTCCACATCCTCACTTGCAGGGGGTAAAGAAAGCAGAGTAGGGCCAACAGCATAAGCAGCTGAGAAGCGGCAAGTGTTGGAGTCTTCCATTGGAAAGTGGGAAAGATGGGACTACATCAATAGATTATTGATTCTGTGCGAGGTTTTGGGTGTCTTCCCAGGCAGGTACTCTGTGGTTTTCTCTCACATGCTAAATACCTTGGATAATCGATTATCTGGCTGCTTCGGGGGGAAGCGGGCGCCAGATTATCAAAGACGCCGGATAATCACCTCGTTATTTAAAATAGCTTATTTTTGCACGTTCTTGTATAACATGTTTTTAGGTGTTGTGTATATGTATTTTGTGTTTTAAAAATGCGTTTACTATATGAAATAAACATATGAATAGACGAAAAAATATCTGCATTAAAAAGTTACTGTATTTACTGTACCGTACTTACCACTCCAATCTCGAAGACTCTGCATGGGGTGATGTACATACTATGCTCTTGTTTCAACAACATGTTATGGGCGATCGCCGGACTGGTACAGCCCTTGAAGCGGTTTTGCCGGATTGGCCTGGGAACGCCGGATAATGTTGGACGCCGGATAATAAGCGATGATCAACTGTACTTGTTAAAAAAAAATTGTCGAGACATTCCTATGCAGCGCTCTCCTATAAAGTGTTGAGACTCAGCATGGCTCTCATTAGGTCAAGAATTGGTATTATTATTGTTATTATTAAAGGTCACGTTTGCATGCACAAGCATCGTATTTATATAACCTCAGGTGTGGTTTTGATATGCATTCCTTGAAATTTTCATCTAAAAACACTGCCGGCCAGAGTGGAGATGTTCATGTTATTTTAGAACAGTTTTTTATCAACGAATTGCTTGATGTAAACCTCCACCTCATGCCATGTCAGTCATGGAGTTATTTTACCATAAAATGCATACATGCACAGCAGTGCAGGTTGGTGAATGGGGGTGCCCAGGACCAGTTCAAATCTCTCACCACCGATGTTAGCCTTGGCCAAGAATAAAACTGGGTTTCTGGGTTCACGGTGCAGCGCACTAGCCATTGTGCCACTGCGCCACCGCTCAAACAACATAATCTTGGCAACACACCTGGAGGGAAAATTACATGAAGGAATCTCTTGGGATAGTGAAGGCAGCATGCTGGGGCATGTCCAGGGAGTTCAAATAGGCGGTGAGTGTTTGGGCATATACATTCTCTGCATCTTCCATTGGGCGGTCCATAGTCCCCATTTACAACCACAAACAGGTTTTTCCCCATGCCAAATGTGAGCACACCACAGCAAGCATCATGCATGATTATCTCATAATCAACTACTCCCTCCCATTGGCACCTGCGGTTAGGAATGTGGAAAATCCAATTTATCAGCAGACTTCTTTTGTTGGGTCTAAACAAAGCAGAAGCACAAGTCTTGTGCATGTATATTGTCCCATAAAGATCACTGTTGTGTAAATGGCCACAGTCTCTGGTCGCATGTTCTTACCCATCTGCGCTGGCAAAATCTTCCATCCTCCGTGATGTTCAGGCCAAATGCTTGCTCCCAACGGTCTTAATCGCAGCCCATGAGTATATTATGATTGCCTAAACCAAAGACAAGCGACGTTATTATACAGCATAAATGTGGCTTCAGTTGCTATCGGTGAAAGAGGAAAGTAATGCAGTCAGCCAAAAATGTTAAAATCATTATTATCATTACAAAATCATGCATAAAGAATGTACCCTTCCTTGATGATCAAATGACAGTGGACAGACTGTTTAATAATTCCACGACCAAATTTGCACGATTTTTCAATTGGATCACGGCAAAATATTACGCAGCAATGCTCACAATGTGCGCAGTAAAAACACAATCGGTGACACGAGTCAAATTATCAAAGCGATCAAGATGTCGTAAACTCCTGTGTATGTTTTTGACATTTGTAGCTGCACATTTCTCCAACGTGTTTTCAGGTTGTACCGCATGTTTTCGGCATGATGTTTCGAGGTTCAACCAAATTCAGTTACGGAAGAAGCTCCCACTCGCAACACATGCAGCAAAACGTAAGATACCATGAAGGACAAAATAAGCAAGCACGTGTTCATGACACACACAATCATTTTGCAACCTCCGATTAGCACGGTTGGCTCTGCACGGTGTGAAAGAAGTTGTTCAACACACAATCATCCATTAGGTATAGAGTACAGTTAGTGGTATGCAGTGTATTTACACCACTATTACAAAAAACGCCAATGCAGCTTAATATGTAAGTTTGTCAAATAACACACTTATCCACGGCAGACACCAAACCTGTTATGGTGTTATGGCCATTAGAGAGCACGTCTGAAGCTGAACACACTTGCCACAACAAGCACGTTCGTTCCTGCCTCCCCACAATTAATAACGCATTAAGTTGCGCCCTTCATCAAAAAATTCGCTTCTGGGCCTCCACTCTTCATGCTGGTTTCACAACAGTCACTGGCAACTACCCATCCACACACTTTCAAAGCCTCGCCCACTGCTGTACAAATACACACGGTATTTGCATTAAAACACACACACACAAAAGAGGTGAGATAATTAAATCAATTCCGTGTTCTTTGTTCAAATTGTAAATGATCTGAACCTTTCATATATATGTTAAATAGAGAAGTCGCCAGCTGGCAAGATTTGGGGGGGTGGGGGAGGGTGTTCGCGTTTGTACACAATAAGGCGCTCTATATGATGATGATAATGTCCCACATGGGGGAAGTCAGCTTCCGATTGCTGTGAGCGCAGCATCGAGGTCTGAACACAATGTGCAGACATAAAGAGACGCGTGGCAGTGGTTCTACGTGTTCTTTCATGCATTGAACAATACACTAATGCGTTTGGAGTGAATACTTTTTTCCGATGTATAGTACTACAAGTATTGTCATTCTAGAGCAGTGTCGTCACTCTTGAGGAGTGTTTTCTCAGTTTTTTTTGGCCCCCGTAGACCACTCAGCCAAAGCAAACATTCCCACGGACCACACACCCCTGGTGATACAACGCATTCACTTCTAAATACCACAGATACAAAATTATTCATTACCGGAATAAAAAAAAAAGTTATTTTTCTGGGGTGGGTGGGGATTCGCATACCTTATCAGTGCCTACCCTCTTATGACAGACCAATTCAGACTGTATTGGTCACCCCGTGCCCTTAAAAATCTCAACGTTCATCCTACAAAGTCCGATCACAAAGGAGAAACACAAACAAATAGACAAAAATGCCCTTTGCCCGCATTGAAACGGTTGTACGCCGTATGAACATGAAAACTCAATTTCCCTGTACAAGAATATGGCTAATCCGCATGTATTGACAGGTTATGTGTTAGGGTAGTTTACCTAGATTTTTTTAATTAAATATCATCGGTAAAATATTAATTGTTGTCCTAAACAAAAGGGTCAACCTGCATTTGCATCACAACCCACGGCCCACCGAGAGGGCCGTCGGGGTCCACTTTGAGAAGCACCGCTGTAGAGCCAATTAAATTATGAAGACGATTACGCACACAACACAAATTATCTACTCTGTTGCCAGATGGAGATTAATACAGAGTACGAGAAATGTAAACTGAGGACCACTTTGTTTAGGTCAGTGGTTCCTTTATTGCAGCCTGCATCCCCCCCCCCACCCCCTTTGGTTCTCAGAAAGGCAATCTAGCACCCAGGTTCAGAACCCATGGTTTGAAGCTTTCGTGACTGCAGGAATCCATACTCTTTGGTTCGTTCGGTAAAGTCACGTAGGTATAAAATAAAATAGATCACGACGTTTCGGGCGCAACACAAGCGTCCGTCATCAGGTGGGAAAGCATGGTCTGCTGCTGATGCAGACTGTGTATCTACTCTGTTGCCAGTCGGCCTCAGCAGCAGTCCATGCTTTCCCACCTGATGACGGACACTTGTGTTGCGCCCGAAACGTCGTGATTGATTTTATACCCACGTGACTTTACCGAAAGAACCAAAGAGTAAAGAACCACTGGGTTTATGTGATTAACTGATTGTTCATTATGACTGCCCACTGGCTCATGGGTAACACTAAGCAAGAGCCGAATGGCTCACAGGGCTATACCTAAAAAATGAAACTTGAAACATGCACAACCCCCCCTCCTACTCTTCCCAGTGCTATCAACGCATGGCACCTTTACCTTTTCACTGCCAAGACCGTTCCATGTACTGTATAGTAACCCCTCCTTTGTGATGAATGATTAACCGTAGATCAACAGACGACAAGTGGCCCAAGGCCGCCAGTTTTCTTGCACACTGACGACATGTGTGTGTGTATTGCTCTAACAAGGCTCCCATTGGACATTTTTACAAGGACGTTGATGGCAACATTGGCGGAGGAAAAAATGTCACACTCGGCAAAGCTTGAGCGAGTTTTTTTTTTGAAGATCACTGTATTACAAAGGGTGCGGTTCTGCATGGGATGCTATTACGTCTGTTGGTAACCTCTGTTTTGGCTCAGTCACGGTGCTTAAGAATAACCTGAAAATGTCCTCTCCTCCATGCAGCTTGTGTCGACTGTTTCTGTCAAGTGCTGTTGGCAAGCACCTATTCAGGCCGGTACGGTGTAAGAGTCAGCACCACTCCCCAGACCGGGTTCGTCTCCCATCTGCTGATGCTTAAACACCACACGAGGCACACTCATTTCATTCAGTCTGAGTCAACTTGGAAAGAACCTGGAGTGGTTGAGAGGCATTCACCACTCATGATGGCTGTGGCTGGAAATCAAACTCGGGTTGCCACGTTCATTTTAAAGTAGGCTAGCCACTTTTCCACCGCATTCCACAATGATGCTTGGGAACAGCTCGAACACTGAATCACAATAGACCTCGTCACATTTACTGCCAGACTTGCTTCACAGGTTGTCTTTCGGCTAATACAACACCGCCCCATTCTCAGCTATGCCAGAATAATGAATGTCCTACTACTGTACAGACGAGGACAGCTGCAAATACAGAAGTGCTCTTTGGGAGAAAAAAAACACATCCGCATGGGAAGTTTTGCGTTTTATCAAGTGCGAGGAGAAAGGGAAGTCACACAAATGCCCTTGACGACAGCATCATTTTCGCAGTCACCAACAAATGTAAGTGTATGTACGGAGCAGACCGTGCTAATCGGAGGTGCGGGGGAAGGACAACCAACTTAAAAAGATGAACTAATCAAACAGATGTGGGGGGGGGGGGGGGGGGGGTCACTGGCACATCATAACTGTTGGCAAAGTTAACCGAAACTTGTAGAATTTATGTACATTACATGGTGTTAGGCAAATATTTCTGATTTCAAAAGAGGTAATAAGCTGATCACAATGAGGTAATGTGTAGCGAAGTACATGACTATTGCAAATATTACATTGACAAAAATATTTATTTAAGGAGTAATCTGGGTTGCTCTGCTTGAGAAAATTTATTTTCTTTTTTACAAATAAGAGAAGTTATACATTGGAGGGAGCATTTATTTATACAATTTGTGCAAAGTTGGAATAACAGCCAGATCGTATTGCAATTTTGTTTTTACGCAGCGTTCGCGTCACTGCTGAGAATCTGTATGAAGACCATTCATGGGGGGGCTCCCATCTAATCCCATTGGAACATTGTCACAAACGCATATCATTACACGTGGAATGAGATTAGCCAGAGCAATTAGAGTGGTGGCAGACAAGTACACACCCCTTAACAATGATGATCTTAATCCAATCAAATGTTTGCGTAATCCACAGAGCGATATCTACTACTTTGTGTGGCCTGGTCATCAAAATCAAGGTCACCGCACCCAATGCAGTCGACATCACCACACCTCTCCATAAATCCCTTCTGCTGGAGCCGACAGCTGTTGCTCAGCCGACTCACAAACTCTGCTCTGAGATTCAACATGTGATTGTTGCTCTTACCCTTGGTCTGCAAACTCTGGGTTAATGCATTCTCGAGTAATCACCATGCAGATTATGGGGGGGGGGCGAGTTCACAAATCACATGCAACTAATGTTAACCATGGCTGGGAATTGACCGCAGGTCACCAAGTTCACAGCAAAATACACTAACTCGATGTGCCACCACTCCTAAGAGGGAAGACATCAGTGAAAAAACTGTACGAGATTTGGAGGGAACACAGCAGATGTCGCCCCAGTTTCTAAGAATGTTCCTAATGTATCAATAAAATGTTCCTAATGTTAGAGTCTTGTTCTCATAAAGCCGTTTATAAATGTACTCGTTCCAAAATTAATTTTATTCCGACACATATAAGCCCTGCCTCACCTTTTACTAAAGTTCAAACATAAGAAAAACTGAATTTCAATAATAATAATAATAATGTTTGTTAGATGTAAGACAAAATTATTATCCTTTGTGACGATTTAAAAAAAACAAAACACTTGTACAATAATATCCTTAAACACATTACGTGACTACACTCTTGAAAATGTCACGACCTCGAAAACCTCGGTAGTGTTTGGCTTGCACGTATGCAAAACCTGGAAAAGGAATTGAAAAATAAGTTGTGGTAATTTTACAAAAATAGATCATGCTTTTCATTCATTACTTGCCATCAACTGGCTAACTTCATGTTAATAGCTGGAGATGCGCACAGGTCGTGGTGTAGGTCTACATTTGTATGAAAGACGTGGTTCATGTGAACTATACCAATTAAACGCTTGAGATGTATGGTGACTCAAAGCACCCACGTTGTCTCAACAGTAAACACCAATTCTTTACATTCTGTAAATGTGCTCCCTACCACGTTCCCCGTGCTTGGAACTATATAGTATTGAATCTCGTTTAAGTCAAGTGCTTTTGAAGCATACATATTACAGCATTTAAAATGTATGACTAAAATTGTAGTATTTTTTTACTTTACAGAGATTAGTGGGGTTTTTTTACGTCTTGTATCCCAGGGTTTTATTAAAATTACTTTATATTTCGACACTATACTGTGGCACGATGTATGAAGCCACCGACAACGTGAGTTCGATTCCCGGCTCGGGCTAACATCAATGGCTAGCGATGTGTGCATGACCCAGCAAACCCAACGACCAGATACAAAAAATCATCATTATTATTGCATTAGCTTAATACAAATGTATACTCTACTGTTTACATTCTAACCACAGCTCTCCCTCGAGAGACTTGAGTCTGGAGGGTCCCCCATCCGGTGCAAACAAAGGATAAGTTGCATACATGTAGAATGGCAACATGTGGTGGTGCCAGCTGACGTCAACAATCAGGTGAATACGTTTTGAAAACGGGATTTGGTGGCAAAAGTCGGTTCAGTATAAAAGGATTACACCAATCCTATCATAATTATTTGGCCAGTGCTAAAACAATTATCCATTGCTGCACGACGGCGTCTCCACTCCGTGGTGGTCATGATGGGGGTGTGTTTGACCATACTTCACGGAAAGGGGGGGGGACCTCCCAGAACCAGGTATCTAACTCAGAGTCCCACGTTCCATAGCGCGCCAATGTTCCAGTTGAATAATTTAGGAATTACAAAACGTACTTTTTGGAATATACATGTTGGTCCAAATGTCTTGCGTCCTTTAATTAATTTACCCCTAAATGGCGGTCACAAGACATCTGGACCACCCTGTACATAAAATCGTTTTGGACGACCTTTGAAATGCTCAGTCCGTCGTTTTCAAATACAACTTTTTACTGCAAACACTATTGCAAACAAACGCACATTGTGCGATTTAAATATATTATACGGAATTGTATACAATAATTAGATACAAAAGTCTCATAACACCAAGCAATTGCAATGTTAAGGGTTCCACGTCAAATAACGTTAAAGAGTAATGTGTATCCAGCCTTACGAGATCACAACTTGAGAAAAAGTCCCCAAGAGAAATGGGAACATAAACCTGTCCGAGGTTTACATACTGAAATAAATGCTAATTGTTTAAATCAGTCTGCAAGGCGGATATGCTGATGGACTAAAAACTTATTTCGTGTTCATGGACATTCGCTTTTTTACCATAATAACTTGGGTTTCACGTAAGACATAGATAAAAAGGCATTTCGTTTTTAAATGATTCTTTAGACAAAGAAGTGTGCCTCCTACCTTGCAGGTGACTTGAACAGACGTTCTCGCGGACGACACAGATACGCGGAGCACCCAACACTCATCCAGACCACTTTGCGCCACTCAAATGTACCGGTTCGCGTTGATTAGAGCGCATGGAACAATCAGATGCAATCGCGCACACGTCAATAGCCAATGGTTAACACGGCGGCAGCACAGCAAGTAGGTCCTGGGGAATACAACCTGGCCAAGTAAACACTACGCCATCAACGTCACCACTTCGCAGTCGTAAAAATACAACACAAAGAGCATATATCACACCTGCACTCCTGGTTATTAACGCATAATTACGGTGATGACTGTGATGACTGCCAATCCAGCAATTTTACTCTGCTCTTACAGCCACCCCACCCACCCACACAGACGTCGACAACACTCAAGTACTGTGGTGTAGAAGCCTCAATAACTTACACACACAACAGACGAGGGACCCCGTCTATATAAAGATGCTGCTGCTGCTGTGGTTGTCACACGCTCCACTCGCTGCTACTGCTGTGGTTGCTGTTGTTGTTGTTTGGTGCCGCGCTCGGTGGCACCGCGCGGAGCGAACTCCGCGCCGGGGGGAGGAGACTCGGGACCCTGCCCCACGTCGGTGGGGGGCGTGGGGAGAGCAAGGGGGGTCGGGGGACGGGGGGCGGGGGGGACCGGGGGGTGGAGGGAGGGGCGAGGGGAGGAGCGGGGGGAGGAGCGAGGGGAGGGGCGAGGGGAGGGGCGAGGGGAGGGGCGAGGGGAGGAGCGGGGGGAGGGGCGAGAGGGGGAACGGGGGGAGGGGCTGGGAAGACGGAGGGACCGGGGGACAGGGGGATGAGGGGAGGGGCGAGGGGAGGAACGGGGGGAGGGGCGAGGGGTAATACGGGGGAGGGGCGAGGGGAGGAACGGGGGGAGGGGCGAGGGGTAATACGGGGGAGGGGCGAGGGGAGGAGCGGGGGGAGGGGCGAGGAGAGGGGCTATGACGGGGGGCTATGACGGGGGAAGGGACAACGGGAGGCCGGTACCCAGTGAGGGGTGGGTATCGATTCTCAAATAATCGATTGCCAATCGATTCAACAAAGTAGTTAATCCATAATCGATTCAGGATTTGTGTGTGTGGGACCTTATTGTTTGTACAGGGACCGTTTGAAAGTGAATTGGAAGTTGTTAGTCTGCATCTGCATCAGCCATACGAAAGAGGACGTTTGTACAGAAGTGTCTCTCGATTGCCTCCCACGACTCCACCTCTCCCACCTCGTTGAGACACCGAAGGTTGGTATTTTCCTGGTAGGAACCTCCTGGTTACACCAGCCCACAGGGGATTATTGTGTCCGTCGTGCAGGGAGGGGCTGGGTGGGGAGGGAGGGGCTGGGTGGGGAGGGAGGGGCTGGATGGGGAGGGAGGGGCTGGGTGGGTAGGGGCTGGATGGGAGGGGTGGGGCTGGGTGGGGAGGGGCTGGATGGGGAGGGAGGGGCTGGGTGGGTAGGGGCTGGATGGGAGGGGTGGGGCTGGGTGGGTAGGGGCTGGATGGGAGGGGTGGGGCTGGGTGGGGAGGGGCTGGATGGGGAGGGTGGGGCTGGGTGGGGAGGGGCTGGGTGGGGGGTGGGGTTGGGTGGGGAGGGGCTGGGTGGGGAGGGTGGAGCTGGGTGGGAGGGGTGGGAAGGGGCTGGGTGGGGAGGGAGGGGCTGGGTGGAGAGGGGCTGGTCACCCCGTGGTGCCCTTATAAAACTCAACGTTTAACCTACTCACGCGGCTTGTGCCCGCCCTCACAGTCGGGCATATTTGCGAAATACACCACGCCGCAGTTGACCCTGGCCATTGACCGAGCAACCCAACGTTCCTACCAGCTCCCTCCGCAGGAATGTGTTTAAAATTGATATTTAGAATTGACCGTGGCGTTGTTATTAATAACGCCTGTTTAAGCGGCGCGAACACACAGGGGGGCGGGTCACATTGCCCCCCCCCTCGATCACCGCTCAGCCAATGGGGAGGCGCAGAGACGTTCACTTGGGATCCTTAAATCAAAACACGTGTCAGTGTGTGTGGGTTCCTCGATAACGCTCGGCGCGTGTTGCCTTCAGAGGAGCAGATATATAATAAGCGACGTTTCGGACGATGAGCCTTTATTGAGAGCACATAAAAGGACCATTGCCCGAAACGTCGCTTATTGCATATATATATTTTTCACTTTTAAGGACTCGCACAGAGTGTGTGATTGACGACGAACGTGTTGATAGTTTTGATTTAAAGCTTTCGTGACTGCAGGGATTCATATTCTTGGTTCTTTCGGTAAAGTCACGCAGAAGGGAAATAATATTGTTTTATATTTTTTATTATTTTATTATTTCCCTTCTACGTGACTTTACCGAAAGAACCAAGAAGATGTGTTGATAGTTGTTTTTATTATTGTCGGATTTTTAAGTTTAGACTTGCACCCTTCGGCGGGGGGTGGGGGGGGCTTTGATGACGTCACGAGAGGGGCGAGGGGTGGGGGCGAGGGGGTGGGGGGGGGTTTACGACAATTTTACGACAGATCGCTTGAGGGGAGGGGGGCGGGGCACGTTTCTGCTGCTTTACGGCAAACCTCGCGACGCCGGTGGTGGTCGCCGTGGCGACGCGGCGGCTCCTAACGCGGTATTTGATTTGGTAGCGACGCAAAGTTGTTTTGTTTTTATTTTCTCCACATGCTCTTGGTTTTAAGTAATCATACGATGAAAAGCACCCCTTAACTCCGAGCAGGAGTAACTTGTCAATAAACTGCGCCTATCACGTGTCGGATTTAAAGGTAATTACTTTCTGTACATCTTGATTTAAAGCTTTCCTGACTGCAGGAATTGATATTCGTTGGGTCTTTCGGTAAAGTCACGTAGGTCTACGTGAATTTACCGAAAGACCCAAAGAATATACTTTCTGTACGTTTGATAACGCACTCGTGGGAGTCTAAACTTTATAGGCGTTATATCGAAATGTATTGCGCTATGTATACCTTTCAGAAGTTTGCTAAACTAATTGTGTGAATTGTTACCGCTATCACTGATTAAACTTCTGCAATAAAAGTCTGTAACGTGGAATCTTTCCCCACCGATTCCAGGACCAGCAGTGGAGGTGAGTATCATAGCAGATTATCAATACATTGACCTTTTAATTCATATTGCCATGTGCAGTGAATTGTTTTAAGGACAAGGGTTTGTGAACCCGTATATGTGCGTACATTTGAGCGTATCTCCTGGAATGCCGAAAGGATTTCTCCGCTTTCCTCCATTCAAAACGCCAATTTAAAGGGAATTGATTAAAAATCCTCTTGCAAGAAGCATCGAGACTCTGTGAGGCTTCCAGGATGATATATGCCATGGGATTATTATTATTCATCGCTCGTCAAAAGTGAAATGCTGAAGTGTAAAGTATCTCAATTGACTGCTGTATTTGTTTTGTGAATAATTAATAGTGGAGGTATCACCATGTCTGCTTTGTTCCACTTCGCAGTGCAATATGGGCTGTGTGCGGGTCGTTTTACGCACTAAACCCTCGCCAAGGTTTGCCGAAAGCCAGATTGGCATAAACCCAACTGATAAGGTAAAGTATTACATTACTCATACAGCAGCCAATCCACTTCCCGATGAGGGCTCTCCGCATGCCGTGGGGGTTATGTTACCATATTTAACCATGCTGGTCAGTGCGGGTTGAAGGTGGGGAGCATACACGGGAGAACATTGTACAATACAACACCGCCCTCTGCTGACAATATATCCCAGCATAAGCCTACAACACACGTTCTACATGCATGGTTGTTGCTCGTACATATATTTGCCTTTCGACACACTCCGGATGATTTAACCATAGGCAAATTAGTAATATTCCTAACGTGTACATTATTTTGACCAAAAAATACATCCATCCAACCAGATAATAGACAGTCAAACATTAATGTTTAATTTACTTATCCCAGATAAATAAAAGGAGATTGAGAGCAGCATATAACTCGGCATCATTATCTTTCATTTTCTATCCACTGCTAGATGAAGGCCTCCTCAAGCCATCATCTCTCATGGTTCTCACAATGCAACAATCCATCTAGCTCCTAGACTGAAACACTAGCCATTATCCCTTTGAGCAGCGTGTCCTGCCCAATTCCATTTTTCTTAACATTCAAGATATTGCTACCCAGCAAAATAATATACTCAGACATCTATATAAAAGTGATATAAATTTTAGCGTGTTTTATGCTTATCTGTGTGAAGACGGTAAACATCCGCTTGAAGGAACACAATCAAAAGGAGATTGTGAACAATCAAGTCACAGAATGGAGCTTCAAGTTGGATGGAAGTCTTCACAACACCAACCAGGAAATGGTGTACAGAGAGACGGCGCGAGAGGTTGTCACGCGGACACTGGATGGTTACAACGGTGTGTGGCACCACTGACGTACCGCAGATCTATAAGCTCATAATTATTGTATGAGAAATCTTATAATTGTCAATGCCAAAATACAATTTTGCTACTTGTGTAGAATGCTTTTAAGAATATGAATATATTGCACAAAGGTAATAAGTATTTTTATTGAGGTATAATTTTATATTCCCGTGACACTGTATTTCATGTTGCGTGATGTAAAATATGTATGACAAACTACTAAAGTGGATTGTGCCATTTTGTAAAAATGCAGATTTTAACTAGTGTTGTAAATAAAATTTGCCACACCACTCTGAATTCTCAGGAACCATAATGTGCTATGGTCAGACCGGCGCAGGGAAATCATACACAATGACTGGAAGCACGGAAAATTTCTCTGAGCGAGGCATCATCCCGCGGGTTCTTGAGCAAGTAAGATAAAATGAGAATTTTTCCAGCATCTCCCTACCAACTTTCAGTGAAATTAGTTTAAGTCTAATATGCATGTTTTTTTTTTACAGTAGTTACTGTGTATCTTTCAGGAAAAAATATATGTGCACGTAATACTGCTGTGTTTTGGTTGTTGTATTCCAGGCATAACAAGGAATGTACTTTATATTTGTTAGGTCTTTCACGATATTGAGGAGCGTGTGGAGCAAGACATCACTGTTCGCGTCTCCTACTTGGAGATCTACAACGAAAGTCTGTGTGACCTGTGTGCCATGCCTGCGTGCCAGGCCATCGATAAACAACTGTCTATTATGGATGAGCGTGGTATGGTTTCTGTCAGAGGTCTGACTTGTCAGTTGGTCAGCAGCCAAGAGGAGGCCCTCAACAAGCTATTTGAGGTGCTTAACAGCAGTTTCATACTTTTGGGCAATGTTATAAATTTCGAATTTTCTATCTGATAAAATACATGCGAATGTTACTACTGTCTAGAATGGCTATTGATCAGTATAACTAAGTATACGAAATTTTAAGATATATTATTACATTTTAATAGTTAATGAGTAAACTACAGTATTTGTATTTTAGTTCAAATTTGTTGACATATGTTTTACTCTTTTAGGGTGAAATGAATAGAGCAGTTGCTTGCCATACGCTCAATAAGAAGTCTTCAAGATCTCACTGCATATTCACTCTGTACATAGAGGTAAGAAACTACACAATTGTTTGATAAGCTTTTAAAATGAATAGTTTGTTTAAAAGTTGCCATAATATTTCGCTATTTAAAGTAACTTTGTGCCATCACATTTACTTAGAATGCAAATTGCATATAATGCAACAAGCATTGGATATTTTACATTTTCGTCGCATATTTTCGATGTTTACATTTATCTAAATAAAGCTTATCTGGCTTTGGTATGCGCATGTCTGATATTGGTCATTTTGTGTGTTCCAGTCCCGCTCGAAAACAATCACAAATTCTAAATACACGATGTCTAAACTCAACCTGGTTGATTTGGCTGGCTCTGAGCGTCTGGGAAAAACTATGGTTTGTTTTAATAGACACACTTTCACAAATGTTCTTTATTACGCCATTAATTGTGCTATATTTGCATATTATTGCCATATATATTTTGCACTTGTGACTAAAGTTGACATCCCCGCGCAGTTTGTAATACCATATTACTAATGAAATACTGTAATTGTTTTTAAAATGAGAGTGAGCAGAATAGAAATTGGTTAATGTTTAATTATGATGGGGCAATGCTCACCTGTTACAGTCAGAAGGACAAGTGGAAAGAGAGGCAACATACATTAACAAGTCGCTGTCCTTCCTGGAGCAAGCTGTGATCGCACTGGCAGATCGCAGACGGGAGCATGTCCCTTTCCGTCAAAGCAAACTCACACATGTTCTTAAGGATGCCATCGGTGAGTCTCGTTTGCCAGATTAAACGGTACACAATCCACAACACTACACATGGAATACAGCATTTGCAATTTCACTATCTGACCCTATTTTGCACAACATGCTGAATTTATATTCGTTTTTTTATTTATACCCATTCAGGTGGAAACTGCAATACTGTGCTCATTGCCAACATCATCGGGGAGACTGAACAGATAGAAGAAACGGTACTGTTAAATGTCATATTCACTTAGACATATAATCTGACTTTAAAATATGTATAATTGTCTTGTGTTTGTAGTGTTTGTTGCTAAATTAGATTTTTTAATATATATATGATTATTTTATGAATGCTCACCAGAACTGGTTCAAGTTATGAAAAAATGTTGTATGACGTGTTGTCTGTACCCCATACAGCTCTCCACGTTGAAGTTTGCTGCTCGGATGGCCTGCGTTCCTGTGAACGCTGTCCCCATTGAACTTCATGACCCACAAGTACCCGCCTAATTTTAATCTCATAGTCAAGAGGTTATATTCAATGATGGCTACCACTCATGTTTTATTGCGCTGTGCTATAAGTTGATCGAAGGAAGCTTCTAATGCTGAGCCTTTCTCCACAGCGGACAGTGAAGGATCTAGAGAAAGAGATCAGGCTGCTGAAAAATGAACTGGCAATGCATGACATCTTGGTATGGAAAAGTTCTGTATTTTTGTTGTACAGTATTTGGATACTTGCAACAGCAGTTCGGTCAACCTTCCACATGTGGGTCAAAGCTGGGAGCATTGCATGTAGTTGCACTGGCATGAGAAAGTTTTTTTTTACACATTCTAATGTTATTTAAGGCAAGGTTAGAAAATTCATGGCAACAAGGTTTGTGAAAATAAAATGGACTTTGAAGTGGCAATAAAGGTTACTTAACATACGTGAAAAAGTAACTACAGTTGTAACACGTTCGAATAAACAGTGCTCTTTTATGTTTTTTATTCAGCAAAATTCTGATCAAATTAAGTGTAAGTATTTGTATGCATGTGTATTTACTAAGGTTTATGTTTGATTGCATGTGGCAGGCAAACCGTAAGAAAGTGAGCTATGAGCCACTTTTGGAACATCAGGTGGCTGAGATTCAATCTCAAGTGCGCCGCTACTTAGATGGCTCACTCAACGAGATCACCGTGAGTTGAATGTCGACTTCTCTTCTGTGATTGTCAACAGTTTTCAACAGTAGAACTCTCAACGTAGCATTGAGTTGTTTCATGCCAGTGTAAACCTGCCTCCTGCCCAAACCTAGTCTTCGAGAAAATGATTTATCTTCTTAAGTTTTGATTCCTCAGTGAGATGAATTTATTTTTGCTGTGGCTGGCAATACTCTTAGAAAACGGAATCCAACAAAAAAATGTGTCAGTTTCTGTTGCAATTTTTAAATTAGGGCCCAGGACAATGAATGCCAGGTACAGTATTCTTATGTTTATTGGTTTATAAACAACACGCAGCCTTTACTGCAAACATATTCCTTCCCGCAGTACAATTGTGGATTTGTATAGGTGTGTGTACATTGAGTGGTCACTGTGGTAACTGCTTGTTTGTCTCTATTGTAGTTGGCCAACGTAAGACAAATTCAAGAAGTGTTTGCACAATTTAAGGTGATTTTCCTGTAAGTATACTGTATTTTAATTATTACTGTGGCAATATATTTATTAAACCTTCTGGTAAATGGCAGTACATTGAGAAATACTACACAGATTATGATGATGGTGACACAAATATGCATAATATAAAAAGCACAACTCTGCAATTGTATAGTTGGCATTATTAATTACTGCACGTTGAATTTGCAAGCTTATGGTACAATATGGCATGCTGGTATGAATGGGAAGTGTACTTGATGGCTGCTTACTATTTTAACTTTATTCAGTCAGAAAGAGGAAGAGGTGGAGGCAAAACTAAGGCAAAAGTTCAGCTTGCAAGAGAGGAGAAAGGAGCCTTCTCTAGATGTAATTCAGAAGGTACAGTTGCCCAAGCTATGCACAATGTAACACGTAAACATTGTGTAGCATATAACCCTCCCGTGCACATCACCATTTAGTGTCACAAGACATATCAATTGGGCTCTTGCCTGGTTTTAAAGGACTTACCACTATAATCTGTTTAATTTATTAATGACAAACATTATCTTAACTCTGGAAAATCTCCGAAAATCGCAGTGTTTTGTTTGTATCATCGTTGTAAGAATTGGTTCTTTTCTTACAAACACCTGGCTCAGCTTATTGCTAAGCCCCTTGGTCAAATAAATAAAAGTTCATTAGATTCAAGAAAAAAACATAATCAACTTGTACTTCAAGGGTTTACAATCTAATGCTTAAGTATATAGTGTTGTACTTATACTGTTTTAATTTGTTGCACTTATGTTAATGAAGTAATCATATTTCATCCAATTCCTAACAACCTCAGGCTGGCTCAACAGAAAATGAAGTGGTTCTGGCTGGAGAGTTGGAGCGCGATGGATTTGGACTTGGGTTGGTGCCCACCTCATCCAAGCTTTACCTCTCGCCCGTTGTTACTGCCAAGAAGAGTAGGAACAAGAAGTCACTTAGGGATAGTGCCAGGTAGTCATATCCATTATTTTGATGACTGAAATAATATTCATTATGCTGTACATGTACGACACTTTTGTGAATCCACTGCTGGATGAGTGCCTCTCCACACCATGCAAGTCGAGGAGGTTATTTCACCATATTTCACCTTGCTGGTCGATTTGGGTAGGTGAAAGGTTGGACATAGACGTTGGAAAATTGGGAAGTAAAACAATGGATTTTGCAGACTGCCTCCCGCTAATATTTCGATAGAATAAAAAGTTTGTTGAATTAAAATATTAATATCACTGAACTATTGAGGACTGATGCATGGAATTTAACACTAAAATATATTTAAACCTTTGCAGTTTTTTGTGAACTTCAAGACTGTTGAAAATATTTGTCTACTGCAGCATTTTTATATTGGATTAAACTCACAAACATGTATGAAATGTTTATTAATGCAGTGTGTCTCAGATTGCAACATGTTGATTATGCTTATCGCTGACTGGTGTGTTCTGCCAACTCCATAAGCAGAAGGGAGAGGCCAGGAAGCCCACAGCTCCGAGAGTCTCCCTTTGTGGGAGAAGGTGGCCAGAGAGAGCATGACGTGACCAGCGTAGCCTCAGAGGTCTCTGAACAGCTAAACCGTTCAAAGTGAGTGTTGAAAACATCAACCTGTTTAGCACCTACTCTGTCAAAACACCTTAGCACACAGGGATCAGATGTGGCCTATGGGTTGACAATAAAATACTGCAATGTTCGTGGAATGGAAATGTTCATTGACCTTGATATATGTTTGTTATTGTATCTATGGCAGCACTCCACCAATGCCAGTTGTTGCATTTGAGGAATTTAAAGCAGAGCGAGGCAGTGAGATTAACCGTATCTTCAAAGAAAACAAATTGATTTATAAGGAGAAGCAAACAAAAGCAATAGAACTGGCAAAACACATAAATACTTTGAAGCAAGAAATAGACGTTGCCAGAGAGGCACTGGAAGCCAAGACAAAAAAGAGACAGGAACAAGGTATTAGTGTAATGGCAACAGCTGTGTTTATAGCAACTTACAATTTAATGATAAGTACTAGCACATATAATGAAACAAGCTGATGTATTTAAAACCATTAAACACCATCAGGCTGTATATTAGATGCAACTAAATTTTCAAATATTGTACACTTTATTTCAACAAAATCACAAGCTTTTTAAGTTAACTGCAATAAATATAATATCCAGTTAAATATACACTCGACACCTAACGTGCATATGCCTGCATGCGGCACTTCTGCTAATTACATTTACACACTGTGCCTAATGTCGATGTGCTTGTGTATGGCATTGATGCCAGGTGAATTTATGAGCAGCGAGGGCCAGATGGTGATTGACGAGGAGGAATATTGTTTTCTGCTGCGCATGCGTGAGCTCAAAAGCCAGTACCGTTTGCACTACGAGGAGCTGTGCGACATAAAGGCTGAGGTGCAGTGGTGCCAGCATCAGGTCAACCTGTGCCGCCAGAGACTCGTCTCTGGTATGACCTGCTGCCATGTTACATTTTTCATTGCACGCACCATTATGAAGGCAGGGGCACCATATGAAAGACTCCATTTTAATACAGATGAGCAACAGGAAACAGCAAATAAGAACAAAAAAATATATACTCTTAGGTTTTTTCGGTAAAGTCACGTAGGTAAAAAATAAAATAAAAAGTATTAAAAATAATAATAAATAAAATAATAAATCACGACGTTTCGGAGGCAACACAAGTCTCCGTCATCAGGTGGGACCGTCACAGCTAGATTTACTGTATCAAGTGAGCCTCACTTGATACAGTAATCTAGCTGTGACGTGATTTATTATTTTATCTTATTTCTATTATTACTTTTATTCATTTTTATTTTATTTTTTACCTACGTGACTTTACCGAAAAAACCTAAGAGTATGAATCCTTGCAGTTACGAACGCTTAAAATCTAGAACAAAAAAAAATTGTCCTTCGTTGTAGAGGTGGCTGGGCGACATGAGCTGACTGTTGTTGAGATTTTAAGTTCAAACCCAGGCAGTCATGTGTGATTAAATTGGGTTCTCAAGTATAGAGTTGATTGTCTCAACCATGCCACCATAATTGCACAAACCACGTTAAATTTAGTTGTGCACTCAATTTTATTTACAAATATGGTTGACTGCCATATGACAAATATTAATCTTATTTGCAGTTGGTGGAAACGTGATGCCCTCTATTTTGGGATCTAGAGGCCATATGAAGGGATTTCAGAATTAGCTCTGGTTTCTGCCTCCAGTGGGCCGTTCTGTAACATGAATGGTTGAATTGCTTTTGCAGGAATGACACTGATAGCATAATCAGAGTAATATTAATGAAAATGTACGTATTTATACTGTTCATTCATTGAAATGGTTTTAGTAATTGATATACAGTTTAGACACAATGGAAAAGTTAATTTGCAGTGGTAGATTTTTTTTCTTGTGTTACATTGAGTTGAATGCAATTGTCATATATGTGATCTATAATCTGTGTTTTTACAGAATTTGAGACGTGGTATGCTGAAGCATACCAGGTGCCTTCAGAAAATGTGCCTGCTAATTCCATGACTACAGCCACACCTGTGGTCGCTCACCCAGCTGTTGGCAAAACCCAGCCATTGGTAAATAGTCCGCTAGCCAGAGTTATTGTACTAATGCTTACTGAAAGTGTATTTTCTAGTCTTTAATTGTAAACGTTCATTGTATTTTTGTCGATTTTTATATGGAAGAAAAAAATGCCCACTGACATAATAGGCCATATGTAGAAAAGCTTTGGTTCTCATAGGCCCTAACCCCCATGATTGAATATGCTCTCCAGATGGAAGGAGAGCAAGAAAAGCTTGAAAGAATTAATATGGAGTTCATGACTGAAAATCCTGATGCTATGGCCTTTTATGAAGCCAAGGCCCGCATAGAGAGAAAGGTAAGCGTTATTAATGTATATAGTACAGAATTGCCATTTAAAATAGTATGATCATATGTTGTATTTATGGCTCAATTGTTATTATTTTCTGTGATTTTATGAAATTACATTTTATGCCTTTTAAAAATAACATTTGGACAACTATTTGAAGTCATCCAACATCTAAGTTTCAGGGTGTGTAATAAAATTAAAGAATGTTTTCACAGATACTGTATTCAAGAAGTATATGTGCTAATTGCCATTGTCTTTGGTCTCTAGCACAATTATACCAAAGCCGCTGCCCAAAATCAAACAAAAAATATGAAGGAAGACAACATACCCGCATGTGCAGTTGGAAATAGACTGCCCAAACAGATGATGGTGCCATATTAGTCATATCCATGCAAGGCATTTCTCCAGCACTACTTTACATTAAAACAATGATTTTTGCATATTTTGGAGTAATTTCACAAAATAAGTAGTATGACATTGTACAATGTTTGCAAACATATCTTTATACAATTGATCTGTAAAAGCAAAGTATAATCAAAGTTATTTTTTATAAAGTGTCTGTGCATCTTGATGTTTGCCCTGGCCACAATTCTCAGAAATGTGTTTTATGCCATGCAATGTTACCATGTCCAATTGAAAACCTTCAAAAAGCTACCAGGGCTATATTATTATTATATGAATTAATGCAAATGTTGTGAGTTCAACTGAGTCGCAGACTTCCTCTTGGAGGCAACACATTTAACACCAACACACGGGGTAACTGCCCCTTAATAGAATAACCTATGGTGGTGACCACCAGGCTAACTATACTAATTACGTAACTCGCTACAACGGACCGGACCACAGCTCGGCTCCAGGTCAACGTGTTGGAGACTCGGTAGAACGTAGATGAAGGCTTCTTCAAGATAAACAACGCCGGTCCCTCTGGGGGACCCGGCTTATATTTTCTGCGGCGTGGCTGGCTCCGCCCTTGGCCACGACCACCTTCAAGAATCTTCGAGCAGGATCTGGACCCCTACTACGTGACCACCCCTAGCCCCCACTTGGGGCCCCTTTGTAGACTAAACCGATCACGTGTCCTCTCGGGTCAACCAGAGTGCCATGGCCTTTAGTAACCACGGTACACCGACACCCTATCCTGTAGGGCTGGCACTGCACGCCAAGCGTGGTGCCATCCAGCGCTATCAACCGGCGCTCACCGAGCCCCTCTAGGGCCGGTACTACACCCACATCATAGTGGTGTCCGCGATGTTGTTACATCGCACTAGGGCCGGCACAGCACAGTGACATCCCGTGATGTCACTACACAAATATAAGAAAGAAATAACTCGGAAAAACTCAAGATACATAAGCTCATTATTTATTGCAGCAAACAAAGACCGGAAAAACCAGCAAGGTTCAACTTCGCAGGATAATCTACCGAGCTACATATACACTACACACACACAAAGATGCCAGAAACCATGCGATCACCGCAGCCTAAGTTGCTCATAAATCTCCTTGAGCTTGGCCGGTGCAGTAAGGCTTCTGAGAAGCGAGTAATGTCTCATATCGATCATTCTATCGAGTGCAGCCGTCCGTCTTGTTCATCTTGGTTGGTTGACAACAAATAACATGTTAACAACTCTCTACAATGGAGGGAAAGGTTTCTGTCGATTAATTAAATGACACTATGGTAAACATGAAAATGATGCAGCCACCTTTGGATACCACAGAAAATATAAAACCAAAAAGAAATCATTTGGTGATTAAATACAATTTTGATGACTACCAGGATAATACATTGTTGCAATGATAAGTGAGGATCTGGCGAAATCTATATCCCATACTTTTCTCCAAATTTCCTAGTGTCCAATGGAAATAAGTCGGCACAACACAGAGACAAAAGCACATGGTTTAGTGTAATAAGCAGAACCCAGAACAACCTTCAGGGTTCAACTCAGCAGCACAATTGGCCTATACGGAAAAACGTTACAGACAACACCAGAAAAACCATAGCCCCGTGCCATGCAATACAATAAGTAATATTTAAAAATACTTTTAAAAAACACGCTTTAATGAAATGTACCGTACTCGTAATGGCAAAACTCAACGACTCCACGAAGTGGCCCCGAAGCTTGCCATATCGTAAGGGACCATGGTGATTTATAGCCAACATCAGTTGAGTGTGGACAATTAGACCCAAGCCGGAACATAACATGTAAAAAAAGGTGGTTGAAACATATTTTAATTTTTTTTATTATAGAATATAGTATTGTCATCATTATGACGTAAGTATACCAAGTTTGCAGTCGATAGCACATTGGGAAGTGGGTTAAAATCAGAGGTCGCAACCGGGTACCCGATACCCGGCTACCCGTACCCGGCTGGGTACGGGTACCCGTTTGCGACCCTGGTGCGGACGGGTACGGGTACGGGTAGGCCGTGAGTCACTGGTGAGTCACCGTTTGTCACTCATTTCCCAACGTTTTGTCTCTTCTCACAATTCAAGTTCCTAGAATCAACCCACCCGCGCCTACAACATGGCTTCATCCCAGAGGTCGCAATCGGGTACCCGTACCCTACCCGATACCCGGCCGGGTACGGGTAGCCGGGTATCGGGTAGGGTACAAGTACCCGTTTTCGACCCTGGTGCGGCCGGGTACGGGTAAGGAATCAAAACCCGTTTGCGACCTCTGGTTAAAATTGAGTTGCAAGATTTGAGGATACGACAACAACAGAGTGAGTTTAATAAAAGCGTGCCATAATAAAAACCACACATTCCAAACCAACCACTTGCGCATCTGGTAACTTACAAACATGTTTGCATCCTGGTCGTCCATACCTGTCAACCCCTTATCAGTGCCTACCATGTTCCAGACCAATTCAGACCTTATAAATCTTAACACATTCCTGCGGAGGGAGCTGGTAGGAACGTTGGGTTGCTCGGTCAATGGCCAGGGTCAACGGCGGCGTGGTGTATTCCGCAAACATGCCCGACTGTGAGGGCGGGCACAAGCCGACGTCAGTAGGTTAAACGTTGAGTTTTATAAGGGCACCATGGGGTGAGCAGCCCCTCCCCACCCAGCCCCACCCCTCCCACCCCCCACCCAGCCCTTCCTCACCCCCCACCCAGCCCCACCCCTCCCATTTTTGGATGCACGACGGACGGACACAATAATCCCCTGTGGGCTGGTGGAACCAGATGGTTCCTACCAGTAACATTCATCCTACAAAGTCCCATACCAAAGGAGAAAACAAATAAACAAAACAATTGTTTGCCCCCTATTGAAACGCCTGTACGCCGTATGGACATGAAAACTCAGTTTCCCTGCACAAGAATACGGGTTAACCCGTGTGGGTTGACACGGTATGTGTGACTGTTAGCAGGAGAGTTATCTTGTAATGTACGAGCAGGAACCCGGTAATACTTGGGCGGTAAAAGGAAGGCGAATGTGTGTGTTGTAACAGCACTCCCTCTACACCTCACCAATGTCGCGTGACGTCTAACCAGCCCCCTCTCCCCTTCACCACCAATGCACATGTATGTTGAACTTCTTTCGCACCGCACGTAGCCAACAATGCTGATCGTGGCGTCATGACGCCTATGCTCCTCACCAGTGTCGCGTGACGTCATCTTCCCTCTTGTTCCGTGACGTCATCAACGCCACACCCCCCCCCTTCACAAATTCACCCCAATCTTGCGTTGACGTCGGTACTCATCTCCCCAAGAGCCGAGTGACTCTGAGGTCATCGGCCCTCCCCTCCACCTCAGCCCCTCCCCTCCACCCCAGCCCAATCCAACCCCTCCCCTCCACCACAGCAGCAGTGTTCACCACCCGGCCAAACTTTTGTGTCTGATTTCCCAGTGTTTTTGGTGCGTTGCAGACAAACAAACAAGTGTATTATTATTATTTTCATAGAAAAATGCATGCCCGTATCCAACAAAATGCATGGCCATGTGCAGTACATCGTGTTTGCAAGTTGCATTTTGGGAAGTAAAGTAACAAATGCACTTTCCAGTGGTTTGACATTTTATTCCGCTTGTTTAGCCGTGCCTGTGGACTTGCACCTTAATGTTCTCGTTGTTTTAGATTTTAAATATGTAACTGTTCTGTCAGTGATTGGCTTAATTTTAAAGGAACATAACATACACGTTTTAAAGTGGTCCAAATAAATACAACTAAGGAAAAAATGTAATACTATTTGTATTGTGTTGTAATGATTTGCAGTGTATTATGAATGCCGTTTGGAATTTTGTACAGGTGTTTTTTTTTTTGCTACACGTGCTGGATAATGAGTGGGATGTAGGGTTAATAAATATCCAATAACGTCTTACAAGAATACTATTTCAATCATTATAGGCCAGTGACTCAACATTGTGGTTGTTATGTACCCCCGACCGGACGGATCAACTGTCTATTTACCCCACTTGCAAACAGGTTTTGTACATATTTTTTAAGTACACCTTTATTGCATTTACAGTACACGTAATTTCAGTTTCATTTTCAGTTTCATTTATTAGGTATAGCCCTGTGAGCCGTGCGACTCTTGACTCGGGTGCAACCGCAACAAACAAAAACATTAACAAAGAACATCTTAAAGTGACTATGCGTAACAGAAAATCCAGGAAAAAATAGCAAAGTCTTCAAGAAAAAACCCCACCGTATATCAACGCTGTATGCAAAAATCCCAGTGCGATGCAAGTCAAACAATAACCATAAGACAATTTAGATTAAAGTTATCAGGCTAATTCTGTACTTCAACAAACAAACATGGCGAAAGCATACGTTTTCTAAATCACCAAAATAAATCTATAAAAACAATGTAACAGTGATCATAGGAACTGTGATTCAAATTTAACAAAAATAGGATATACATAACAAGTACGACCAAACTTTGCAGCCATAGCTGGCATGCATGAGTCACTCCATAACAGCAGGAGTATCAAAAAATGTCAATGTACCTTTAAAGATCAGCACACTATAATCAATTAAAACACTACATTGTGTTTACCACTGCAGAAGGCTGAATATATTTTTCTGATGTTGAAGAATTTAGATACATTGTATCTGTAAAATAAATGTGACAGAGTAAATGTGAACAAGAGCAAACAGCACATGGATGCCCGAGGCAACCTGGTCACATGACCAAATATACCTCGCGGTGCAGTTATGGTTTGGACGAGGTTATTTATAACAACATTTTCATTGTCAATTTATCTTCCTCGTGAACATGAGGTTTAAAGTCGAATTACACGTCTTTGGAGGTTGTATTTTAGTCATATGACAGGGGGAAGCCAATTACACTACAATTAAGAATATATACGCTGGGAATTGTCTAATCACAGGAAAAGGCTATTCGGGTCCAAGGGAATGGGTTGTAGGGGATAGATCAGAGAGTCACGGTTGGAGAAAATGCGAATTGAATCCCGTAGGAAGCCACGGGCTGCCTCCCTTTATATAAAAAAAAAATTCGCTAATAACACTGCATTAAAAGAGGCATTAATTCTTGACTAGAAGCTTCGTCGTAGTTTTTTGTTATTTTCTTTAAACCTATCTACGTGACTTTACCGAAAGACCCAAATAAT